AGTTAGATGAGGATAAATAGTGATTTATTAACAGACATTAACTATGATAAATACAGTTCTACTTTTTACTTTAACCAAGTACTCGCTTCTTCTTACCGTCTTCCTCTGCACGTACGAGTGTACGTGAAGTTTCGAGGCACCGCCTTATTCTGTTATCAGAATAAGTAGCTTGTACTGTCACCAGTACAAGCTTCATGGTGCCCCGTTACACCTGGTAGCACTTCGTAGTCCGTCCAAGGACCACGTTCACATCTAACATGAACATGTTAGATGATGAAGATGACCAAAGCTTTCACGCTACGCGTGACGGCTACTCCCATTTGAGAGATGTCGAATGGGATGCGGTTGAACGGATGGGTTCAACCATGGGCATCCATGCTGTTAGCGTCATGCTAGAGGCTCTCAATAGAGATGCCCAATATGCTACTATCGCCAAGTTCATTCAAAATGAACTTGACGCTGAACGCGAGAAAGTAGCCTTGCTTCACCAACAAGGTTCTCAACAATCAGAGTTGTTGAGAGAACAGAATGCTCAACAGTTTGAGCTGTTGAGACAGAAGCAGGCTGCTGCTGGTGGGTCGATGCACTCGCGTCGACCCGAGACTTTGATGATTGACATTTCCAAGTATAGGGGAGTCGAAGAGGACTCCCTCTTGAGATGGTTTGTCGAGCTAGACAACGCCATAAGGGCGCGTCGCATCAACGACGGGGATATCCAAGTTGCATTTGCCCAGTCAAATCTGGCAGGATGTGCCAAGACTTGGGCTTTGGGGCTCAAGTTGCACGACCCATATGCGTTTGGGTCGTTAGAAGTCTTCAAGTCGCGGCTCGGACAAACGTTTGAACCGCCTAGAGCTGAGTTCAGAGCTCGAACTGAACTCTTGAAGCTCAGACAAGGTAAGCGTGATGTGCACGCTTACGCGCAACATATACGACATCTCACGAGTTGTATAAGTTCCAATCCGGTGGATGAACACACGTTGGTTTCGGTGTTCATGCAGGGTGGTGCGGATGGTCCCTTCAAGACTCACCTGTTCCGACTTGAACTAGATTCACTAGAACAAGCCATTTCCAATGCGGAACAGGAAGACTTCAGTCTGAGACAGGCTCGCGCCAGCCCGACATCATATCGTCAACCGAGACGATATGACAGCGGAGGTCCAGAGCCGATGGAACTCTGTTATGTAGCGAGCGAGAAGGCTCGCTCTACAGACTACAAGAAGTTGCAGAAATACAACAGATGTCAAAAGACAGGACACTACGCTTACGAGTGTAGTGCCCCTCGTCCAGTGTCTCGCAACACTGGGCGTAGTGACCGTCCACCCATGAGAAAGGGGCAGGGACGCGGGTCCGCTGTTGGTGCAAAAACGCAACAACGGGATGGAACGTCAAAAAAACGGACAGGATCAGTAGGTGCGGAGCACCCTACTGGTCCAGCAACGTCAAGAGAATTTGTAGGCCTCTTGATGAAGGTTGCTCCCAACACACAAACATCGTGCGTTGCTGCTCTAGGTAATGAGATCTCACTCATTACCTTGAAACTCGAAGTGACAAATTAGTTGTTCCTTCAAGCTCTAGTCGATTGTGGGGCGTCCAACAATTTTGTGCGACGCCAATCTCTAGAAGATGGTCACTTCAAGTTTAGTGAATGTGACATACATCCTACGAGGATGACGGTACGTCTTGCCACAGGCGCATCCGTAACCGTCATGAAGCGTATAGAGAAGATCCACTATACGCTAGAAGATACCCAATATGATGATGACTTTATCGTATTGGATTTGGGTGACAAATATGACGTCATCCTTGGAATACCGTGGCTCAGAAGGTACGAACCACGAGTAAACTGGCAACATCGAACAGTAACGATGCCTGCCGCTTGTTCATCAGATGGCCATCTGGTGAACGTTTTGGAGCGTCCACAAGCGTGTGGATGTACTACGAGTGAGTGCGATGGTCTCACTTGTGGTACGGTCGTTAGTACGACTGCACAAAACCTTAGTGTAACAAACAGTTACACTTCAGAGCAAGCTTCCGGCGGCTATGAGAAAAAACAGGCAGCACCGAAGGTCCACCACTCGAATAAGTCGAGTGGACCGGGACAAAGATGTATCTCTAGCGGGGAACACCTAAAAGATAAACAATCGATCGCTCGGGTTAAGCGAAACGATAATCCTAGATCGACTGAAGAGTGTTTCGTAGAGGATGTCGCTGTGGTTGCGCAATTCCAGCTAGAGGAAATGAAGGGAATAAGTCCCGATTTTACAGATACGGTGCAAATAAGTTCCCCGAAACCCGAGGGAATAAGTCCCCGGGAAGCCGAAGGAATAAGTCCTTCGAGTCCTGAGGAAATAAGTCCCCAGGAAATGACAGAGACATTGAATGTCCTAGTCAATAACGGATCAAGTGTAGGCGCTTATACACTTGATCTGATTGCGCCTCCGAAGTTGACTTTGGAGATCACTCAGTTGCCAACGCTCGAACATAAAAGGTTCTTGCGTGATCTGCGTAGTGGCAAAGTCAAGCAGACTGCGTACTCGTACGTATGGACGAGAGTGTCCTCGATGAAAAGACACGAGTTGAGCGATATGACTCCCAATCGTGGGAATCGCTCAAGACAAATCCTCTCGACGAAGATTTGGTTGAATTCAAGGATGTATTCCCTGAAACTGTTCCGTGCGAATTACCGAAGGATAAAGGTATTCGACACGAGGTCGAGCTTAAACCAGGCTCGAAGTACTGTGTCATGAAGCAGTGGCCACTGCCTCGTGAACAAGTACTTGCGATCGACAAGTTCTTTGCCGATCGTTTAGCAGCCGGCCATGTGAGGGAATCAACTTCCCCACATAGCTCTCCGACCTTCTGTGTGCGAAAAGCAACAGGAGGGTGGCGGATAGTGCATGCATTTCACAAGTTGACTGCTGCAACTGTACCGGCTCAGACGCCGATACCAAGGAAGGACGTAATCATTGATGGTATGTCAAAGAGTACCATCTTTTCGTTCATGAATTTGATGGATGGCTTCTATCAAATCCTTATGCGAGAACGGGATATACCCTATACCGCAGTGAGCACGCCTAGCGGCATGCTCTGGGAATGGCTAGTAATGCCACAAGGGCTTAGTAATGCCCCTGCCACGTTCAACAGATGTGTATCACATCTGTTGAGACTAGTACGAGATTTCGTGCCGAGTCATTTCGATGACGCATTCATCCATAGTCGGGCTATGGATGGAAATTCGGACGTTGAGGTTCACAGATACCATGTCCGACAGGTTCTTACAATCATGCGAAGGCATCAATTGTATGCCAACCTCAAGAAGTGCATATTTGCAGCAAGCGAAAATGCCACTTCTTGGGTGCATCGTTGGTAAGAACGGTGTACGTCCTGATTACGAAAAGATCAAGGCGATCACCGACTGGCCTGTGCCGGTTGATGTCAAAGGTCTTCGAAAATTTCTTGGGCTAGCGGCGTATTTGCATAAGTATTCACGCAATTACGCCGAGATGACTGTACACCTCTCTCGTTTGTTGAAAAGGAACGAGAGGTGGTTATGGAACGCTGAATGTCAGCGCTCCTTTGATGGTATCAAGCAGAGCTTGATACAATACCCAGTCCTAGCAATCGCCGATCAGGACAGGCCATTTCATGTGGTCTGTGATGCCAGCGATATCGCAATCGGCTGTGCATTAATGCAGTACGATCTTGAAGGAGTAGAACGCGTCGTCTGCTATCAGTCGCGTCAGCTTCAACCAGCTGAGCGGAACTATCCAGTGCATGACAAGGAACTCCTTGCCATGAAGTATGCACTCGCGAAGTCCAGATTCTATCTATTAGGAGATAGACCCTTCATTGTTTACACTGACCATGCGTCATTACGCACGGCAGTGAACAGCCCGCACCTTTCACAACGAATGGCGCGGTGGTTGTTATTCTTTGCAGGATACAACTTTACGGTCAAGTACAAACCAGGACGACTTATTGTCGTTGCTGATGCACTCTTACGTCGTCCCGACTCTAAACCAGTCAAGAAACCCAACAGTGAGACAGTCACTGTTGCGGTTATGACGTCCTCAATACCATCTACAACGTTATATGATGATGTGAGGCGGGCGTATGCCCAAGATGGTGAGATTGTGAAGTTGTTGACACATCTCTCAACCATCTCGAGAATCGTTGAAACAATTATCGTCTGCGTATCGATATGCATCAGATCGATACATTACTCGCAACCGTTTACTGCATTATACAGACGTTACTGGTGGCACACCACGTGTTGTCATTTCAGATGATACTGATCTGCATTTGCGGATCATGTTCGAGTATCACAATGCTCCTGTAGGAGGACATCGTGGCCGTGAGAAAACATATCTCACGGTGAGTCGAGACTTTTACTGGCCCCGCCAGTATCAGTTTGTGCGAAAGTATGTCCGCGCATGCGAAGTCTGTCAACGAGTGAAGTCAAGTCCTTCACTGCGTGCACCTTTACAGCCTCTACCAGTTCCGGCTGAGTGCTGGGAATCCATCTCAATGGATTTCGTCTTCGGGTTACCCAAAGACGTACGCGGGAATACGGGCATTCTCGTATTTGTTGACAGATGTAGCAAAATGGTACACCTTGTGGCTGTACCCGAGTCAATCACGGCAAGTGGCTGTGCTTGTGTCTTTATCGACACCATCTAACGAGTCATCAGATGAGTTCATACTGGCTCGTGAAACGGTAGTCCGTTTTGTGCAAGACTCCATCGCCGAAGCGGTGGATAAGCAAAAGCAAAACGCTGACAAGAGTGGAAGGGCAAACACTCTTTTATTTAATAAAGGTAACTTAGTCCTACTGTCTACGGTTAATCTACCAAAGCATGTAGTGACTAACTTGGGTAGCAGTAAACTACTACCCAAGTACATCGGCCCATTTCGTGTATTGCATCGCCTAGGCAACGCATACACGATCGAACTTCTACGCAAGATGCGAACGCATCCCACGTTTTACGTTGGTCGGCTTAAGCCGTACCATCAGTACGCTGCTTCTTCCGAAGAAGAACGCTCTTGCGCTCCAGCATCTCGCAGAGAGCCTTGTGCTCCCGATGGTGGGCATCAACAAGGGTCTGAAGAGCAGCTATCTCATCCCGAGACCGATCAACAATCCCACGAGCCACCCTTAGATCGTCACGAAGAGATGTCAGAGCTCTCTCGTTCTCAAGCTGAGCAAAGGAAAACGTAGCTCGATGCTTCGAGACAGTGGCCGCCATTTGTAGACGCCTGTCCCGCTCATGTTCGAGATCGTTGCGTAACCCTTGCATTACGCGATTAAAGAGGCTCTCAGGGATACACGCTTCCCCACGATAGTTTGGAGAGCATCTTCCCTCCACCTCCATTAGAGGGACTATCGCGGTGGCCAGCGCTATCTGGTTGAGCAGCTGTTGAACCACCGCAATGTGAACGGACGTCGGACGAGTTACTTCGTCCGGTGGCGCGGCTATCCCCCGTCCTGGGATTCTTGGGAGCCCCGCTCCCAACTGATGATCGACGTACTGGGTCTGGTTGAGCAGTACGACGCGGCACATCCTGTGCCGCAGAAGGACCGCCGGAGAAAGTCTTCCCGGCACGGTCGTAAAGGGATTTCAAGTTGTCAATCCCTTCGTACATCTCAGTAGAGATACGTACGCGCCACCACGGGCTAGTAAGGAGGCAAGCCTCCTTAGGCGCACGCGCAGAGTTGTTCACACAACAAGGGCACGGGTCTCCCCAGGAAAGACAGGGTAACCCACCCTCCTTAGACAGACGGTGCAGCTTATAGCGTGCACCGGTCGGGGTTCGCTTTTCAAACTTATCACGAGCTTTGATAAGTTTGTCGTTCCAAACGTCACGACCTACATCCTCAAAATTATGGATGTAAGCGTTCCACGCTTGAAGCAGTGAGGGACCATCACGCTTGTGATTCCCACTGTACCATCGATGTCTAAAGAAAGCATCGATGAAGAAGTCATTCTCAGCGCGATAGTTTTTCGCATTGGGGCCAAGGTGATGGATCCTTGACGAATCGACTAATCGTATTCGATATTGATCACTTTTCGTCGCCTGCAAGCGATCCATGACTGACTTTGGAGGCAGCCATGCCTTCTTTTCGGGAGCGAGACGCAAGACATTGCGGTCCCGCTCTTCCTGCGACGTACCGACAGAAGTACTGGTACATCACTGCGAAGTGGTGTCAATAGGAGAACCGACACCACTGTTAGCGCCCGAGTCTTGCGACTTCGAGCGCCTTTGCTTTGGCGATGGTTCATCTGATTCGCCCGACGAACCAAAGATGCTAGGACGCGTAGCATCATCCATGCCACGCTTGGCAGGCGGCTTGGCTTCAACCGCCGTCGATACGGATCCGTCTTCCGTATCAGGAGAGTACGAGACACCGAGCTCATACTCTGTGAAGACATGAGTGTCTTCATGACGAGCGCCTGCATCACCAGGTGACACAGGCTGAGTCGCTTCCGCAACCGATGAGACATCAGTTGCTGCGGTTTCTGCTTCGGCGTCCGCAAAGAGACGTGCGGACGCGCTCTCGGCGGCCTTGCTCGCGCACCGCATGGACTTGTTAACCATGCGATGAACTGTTGGAAAGTGAACTCGGACCAACAAGTGCGAACGCTGTCCCAAATGATTTGGGACGAGTATCCAATTAGTCAATCAGTCACTGGAGTGACCGATGGTTAAGGGGGGTGGTGTAACGGGGTGAATCGTTACATAACAATTTATAAGAAATTGATAGTAGAATATAACTATAAGAGTTATATTCTCGGAGTATTGTCATAAGGACAATATTCTACAGCACTTACGAGTAGTTCCTAATTGGTTGATTTGGGTCATCATATCAACCAACGAAGACGCGCCACGACAGACGCACGCAATGAGTGGTGAGCAGATAGTTGATATGCACATTTGTATTCAGACATAGTTAGATGAGGATAAATAGTGATTTATTAACAGACATTAACTATGATAAATACAGTTCTACTTTTTACTTAAACTAAGTACTCGCTTCTTCTTACCGTCTTCCTCTGCACGTACCAGTGTACGTGAAGTTCCGATGCACCGCCTTATTCTGTCGTCAGAATAAGTAGCTTGTACTGTCATTAGTACAAGCTTCAGGGTGCCCTGTTACAGACAAGATGCGCCCAAGATGGGATGTTACGAATGACGATCGCGGAAGAGTGAAAATCTAATACAAACACCCAAATGGCGCTTTTGACATGACAGTGTAACCCGGCAGCGACTTGATGCAGCAGAGTAGCAAGCAACTTGTAGAGTGTCAATGACAATGTGAACAAGACGTGTCATAGCTGCGGTGATACTACACCTGACGGAAGAAAGCGGACCTTTAATGCGGTCTGAAGGCAGAGGCGATTATCGCAGACAAAATGGTTGCAATTTGATTTCAACTTCGTGAGTAAGAAACAGCACAATGGTATTTTTTTTCGAAACATTCACTGATGACACTGCTGTTTGTCATCATGGCACATACCGACGCTAATTGTCGGACTGCTCAGCTGCATCATCAAGGATGGAAAAGTAGATTTGCGGTTTTTTCTGAATCGAAGCATATAGCTCTTCTGTGGCGTGGGCAAGACGTAGCATTATGTCTTCCTGCCAATGGCCCGCCTGGAACTGGATGGAAATGGGCAGACCACGACAGTCGTAGCCGATGGGGACAGCCACTCCTGGCACGCCGATGAGATTGCCATATAAGCTAAAGCGAAACATATCTCCAAGCTGCTGCCCGTTGAGCTCACCAGCTGCAAACACCTCGATTGGGATCTCAGGCGCCGTCACGCCAGTCGAAGGCGTCACGAATACATCCACTTTACTCAGCACGTTATCCTGAAATTGGCGTAGTGCGAACGCGCGAACACGCTGAGCTGCGAGGAAGTCCATGCCTGTGAGGCTTCGGCCAAATGATATAATGAGCTGAACTTCTGGGGACAACTCGCCGAGGCGCTCGTAATACATGTCCAGATTTTGTGCAAATTCGGTCATTATTGTGATACTGTGTGCAACATTAATGGGTGTCAGGTGATAGAGTGGCGTCTCCACTAGCGTAGCTCCACGGTCTTTGAGGGCGTCAAGAGCCTTGTTGACAGCCTCGGCAATTTCCAATGATGAGTGATTCGTGTAATCGCGGAAGTATCCGATGCGAACACCTTTGAGCGACGACGTATTCTCAAATGAATGCAGTTCTACAGGTGGTTGTGTTATGCCACGAAGGAAGATAGTTTCATTTCCGCCACTCATGATAGCATAGCCTATAGCAGCATCACGAACAGAGCCTGCGATAGGGCCAACATGCGCAACCGATGGACAGCCTGATGCCGCTAGAGGAACGCGCTCGAACGTAGGTTTGATACCAACAACGCCGCACAACGAAGACGGGATGCGAATCGAACCGCCTCCATCGACACCAACCGCCAGCGGCACAAGCCCAGATGCTACCGCTGCAGCGGAACCACTAGAAGATCCACCAGTATAGCAGTTTGGGTCATACGGGTTACGCACGGTGCCGTGGTGCATGTTGTATCCCGTGACGCCAGATCCAAGCTCGTGCATGTTTGTAGTCCCAACAATGATAGCTCCAGCCGCACGAAGCCTCGCCACGGGTAGGTCATCTTCCGTCGCGCGTCCCTCTTCATTTCCCATAAAAGACGTGCCCTTAAACTTACGGTGGCCCTTAGCATACAATTCATCCTTGATAACTACTGGCACTCCATCCAGCACACCTAGCGGCTGTCCACGAGCATAGCGTTGAGCCGAAGCTTTTGCTTGCGCTAAAACGTCGTCGTCGTATTCCTCCACGAATAAATTAAGCGGGTGCTCACTATCTTCGTTCTCTTTAACTGCACTCAGTACAGCTTTCACCACCTGCACAGGAGTCACTTCACTTAATGTATAGCGTGACGTGTAGTCGGCGACGGTCCAGTGCTTGAACGAAACGTCTTCGCTCGTACCCCGTGCCCCCTTCTTACTGAATTCTTCCAGCGATGGCGGCTCATCCCCTTCAATCAGTGGCCTCACATCAGTGGCACCCGGCTCTAAGTATGGGTAATACAGTGGCAAATCCGGGATAGATGCGGCAAATCTGACCATATATAAGCGAATATATCCATCCATTAGACTAGAAACTTAGTAAAGTCACCACTTCAAGAGTTTAACGTACTTCCGAACTTCCAAAATATCGTTTTCTTTGGCCAAATAATTGCACAGAATTCTTCCAAGGACAGGGAGACGAGAGATATACGCGAGTGCCTGAAGGGGCTTTCCATAGAGCACGGGGGTCGAAAGATCCGTCAGGTCGTAGTCACTGCTGGTCGCCCACTGACGCTGCAGCTCACGGAGAGGAGGTAAGTTCATGCGCTCGCCTAGCATCAGCAATGCACTCGCCAGCAGCACCACGAGAGCCACAGCGGCGGACGTTGACACCATCGGACGTAGCGGACAAGGTGGATCTTGTGGTTATTGAAGTATGAGACCACCAGAACTGAGTGACGGATATTCAACCAATCAAACAGCTCAGATTGAGGAGCGACATTGATGTGTCACTCGCGCTCGATGTTCTTATCCTGTTTCGTCGGGAACCGCGAAATTTTTTGTCAATACGGACAGCTTTTTCTTACGTAAAGTATGATGTAGAAATTACCAGCTGACTCCTTGTCGACGTCGTCACTAAAAGAGACCGAGAAACGGCACTATTCGCCATAGTTGCCAATGCCATCGCTGGCGTCGCCTTCGTCGCTCTTTTGCTCCGTCGGCTTACAGGCAACGGGCGTGCAATTGATGCGCACGCGACTGCTGTCCACCGCCTTAACGCGCCATGTAGAGGACGTGGATGACGTGGAAATCGCTGATCTACGGTCGCTCTCGTCATCTGCCACATCGTCTACGACCCCTTCCCATTCAACGTGTGATCCGTATTCCCAGCTAGAGACAGAGTTTGCCGAAGCGGTTCTATTCGTGGAGAGCTATCAAGGACCGCACCGTATCCTGACGCAGGAGAACTCGTCGCCCAGGAAGGACTTGTACGCCTACTACCAGCAAGCGACAGTCGGCCCATGTCCAACCACGACGGCGTCAGACGAGTGGAGCAAACTGGAGCTGGAGAAGTGGGAGAAATGGCGTAAATTGGGGTTGACGACGAGACACGAGGCCATGCAGCGCTACGTCACGGCGCTGGACAATCTCGTGGACGAGTGGCGGCGCAGCGCTGAGTTACAGAGCGCCTTAGCTCGTAAACGAAGCTTGGACACCTCAGCTGTTCGATCAGTCTCTGATGCGGGCTCGGCAGTGTCAAACCAATTGAAGTGGTCTGTTAGCATGCCTGGGCGGTCGCCTCGGGTGTACGATGAACTGGGAGAGCTGCAGGACCGCTTGGACGACGAGACGAAGAAGCGTGACGAGCTGGAAGCTCACTTGCTGCACTTAATGCGCGACAATCGCTGCATCTTGAATGAGCAAATGGAGCAGGCCAGCAAGGGCTTAGTGACGCTGGTCAAGACCCTTGAAGACGATGTGACGCAGCACTCGACTCAACTGCAGCAGTTGACGTTGCGACAGCAACAACTCGCGGCTCGAGCAGAGAACTCGGTCCTCTTGGCAGCCGAAGTTCGAATCCGGTGCGTGTTTTTTACTGTGCGGAAGTGGGTGCACAGCCGCTCCATCCGTGCAGCGTTCGTCATGCTCATTGGACTTCAAGCATGGCACTTCCTACGGCGTCGCCGCCTGCCACAATTTGTTGCGCGGATCCTGATCCATTGGCTGGCCAAAGTCTCGTCGCTGGACGGTGACCCAGCATTATCCTCCGTAATTATTCGACACTGATCCGCCGCTTGGAATCAGATGTCACGGTCCCGTCTATGTAATTTTTGAGCATGCCCTATTTTTACTTATCCAGTGCTCCTCGTCCTGTCGTCGTTCGATCGTCCTTTTGATCTTTGACCGTATCACGAGTAGTCGTCGTTTCGTCCTTCGCACCATACTCAGCTCAAGATGTCGCTTTCCAGACTCCACTCACTTGCAGATTTTCCAACTCTTGGCCGGATGTTCTGCGGCGAGTGCGGCCACCGCTGGGAGCCCGACGAAATCGCCAACGCGCGCTTCTGCGCCGACTGCGGCGCCCCTCGGGAGGACGCTCCTCCTGTACCTCCTGCGCCTCCTTTGCCTCACACTTCGAGCTTCACTGCTTCGTCGTACGCGGCCCCACCATCGACTGCTGCCACCAAATCCAGTGCTGTCCAGTTTCCACCATATCCCAGTTCAGGGGCACCAGTGATTCCATCATCATCTGGTTCGACTTCAGCGTCAAGTTACGGTGCGCTGCCGTCTTCCGGACCTTCAGCTCCTGTCAGCCTCAAGTGTGCGCAATGCGGGGAATTGTTTGGAGACTCCACCGTCTCGTTCTGCGGCGAGTGCGGCGCCCATCGCCCTGCAGCCGCCACAAAAGCCCCAAGTGGGGAGATGGAGAACCTCTTCAGCGCGGCTTCGACGTCGTACACAGCTTTAGCTCCGGGGGCTACAACGCAGTCTGGAGGGTACCAAAAGAGCGTCTCCTTTGCATCGCCTAGTGTGAGCTGCACGCCGCCCTACGCTGCATCACCTACATTAGCAGCTTCCAATCCACCTTCTGCCACCCAAGACCCGTACGCTCCACCTGCTGCCTCTCCTACATACACCCCGTACACCCCACCTTCGTCCAACCCGTACACCCCACCTGCGTCCAACCCGTACACCATATCACCTACAGCCTCTTCTGCGTCCAGCCCGTATGCCCCGCCCGCTGCCTCTTCTACGTACGATCCGTACGCTCAGCCACAGACATCAGCACGATTGGCTGAGCCGCCGGCCTCGGTGGACGTGCAAGCTGCTGCCGCGTCTGGTAGCAGTATCAGCAAATTGCTGGCAAATCTTTCAGTCAGCACGAAGTCCGAAGGGGAGAGAGAAGAACCGGATGGAACGGGTGCCGGGATTCATGTTCGACAAGTCGTTCGTGCGCGAAACATGGATTCGCTCAGCACGCGATTGGAAATTTCGAGTGCTGTCGAACGTAACCGCGTTGATCCCCAGGAGCGCAGTGAAGGGTACAACGTGACGAAGGTAAATGAGACGATCACGGTGGTGCAGAATGAACGTGCGGATCCGGTCGAGGAGCGCTACTACAATCAGCATACGCTACCGGACAACGGTGAGTGGCTGCAAATTTTGCGCAAGAGCCGACAGACTGGATCAAAGTTCACGGACCCACAATTTCCACCGGACGCGTCTTCAATTTTTCGTGATGTCAACAATCCAAAGTATCCGCATCTACTGGAGTACGTCCGGAAGTGGAAACGTGTGACAGAATTCTTCAGCGAGACGGCGCACGTTGAGATCACGATGTTAGATGACGCAAAGAAGCTGGTGTGCAGCATGTCTATCAAAAGCCCAGCTGAGACTGAAAGTATTTTGAGTGTGATCCGTCAGAATCCGACCCCAGTCGATGCGCAGTTTTTGAGAATCGCCAAGGAAGCAGTGATAACGGGTGTCACGAAACGCAAGCGCGATCACCTGATGCTGCTCACGAAGAACATGATTGTGCACATGAGCGAGTTTGTGCAGGATGGACTTCAGCGCTTCGAGTTGATGTGGGAAAAAAGCTTGCTTGATCACTACAAACCGCTTGCATTTTCCAGCGTCGGGGATGGATCGGGCTACCGTGTTGATGGATCTGAGTCCGGTGTAGTATCTCGCGTCTCTATTTTGGTGCCCGTCTACTTTCATGCGCAGGGCACGTGCCTTTTCGACCGTTCGCGCGAGTCCAAAGCTGCCAGTCGTATCTCAGGAGTGGGTATAGGCCCTGGGGAATTGCGCATAGGAAGACTCGCTGATGCTTATGTGTTTGGCGCACTATCGATGTTGTCTACCTCACCGCTCGCGTTGTCACAAGCGTTTCCCGAGCTGAGCGACGACTTGGTGCGTCCAGACCGCGTCGAGATTGGCACCGCGTACCCGAAGGAACAACAGTACAATGAAGAAGGTGTGTACGCTGTTCGCTTTTGGCGTAACAATCGCAGCCGTGTGGTTGTTGTTGACGACTTCATTCCGTGCAGCCAGTACGGCAAGCCTGTCTTTGGCTCTTTTACAGGAAGCAATGGCAAGTTTGAGATATGGTCGCTACTCGTAGAGAAGGCGTACGCAAAATTGCATGGCGGATACGAGGCAATTGTCGGTGGCCAAGAAGGCTACTGCATGCAGGATCTCTTTGGTGGCGTGCCTGCGCGATACACGTTGCAGGAGAAATGTTCGGACGAAGATAGCGCGTGGCGAACAATGATCAGTGTGCTTCAGTCAGGTTCCCTTGTGGGATGCAGCAACGAAAATACGGCCGCCGAATTGCCTACAGGACTTCTCAAGACTCACGCCTACGGTATCATGAAATTAGTAGAGCTAGATTTCAAGGGTGTGCCCACTCGCTTGATTCAGCTGCGCAACAGTTGGGGCATTGGAACGCACCAGCAACCAGAGAAGTGGAAGGGTTTCTGGTCCAATGAAGATCCGAAATGGCATGACTTTTCCCGTATGCAGAAGGTGGACTGCGGATTCCAGTTTCGCGAAGATCACACGTACTGGATGGATTTTAGCGCTTTCTACTGTTTCTTCACGACTATCATCGAATCGCGAAACCTGTACAATTTCCGTTCTCTTCCAGACGGCATTGGTAATCCGATTGCCCCAACTTTAAGCATCCACATTGTGTCAGGAGAGTGGAATGGTATCACGAGTGGTGGGCGAGACGCCATGCACTTGAATCCGCAAGTGCAGCTCTTCTCCCCAGCTAGGAGCGGCTGCGATCTTGTTGTCCATCTGGAGCAGCCGTCGCGCCGACTGAAGATGGATACGGAATATACAAGTTACATAGCGCCCGTCGTTGTGAAGAATGGTGAGCGACGGCAGCGCAAAATTGATCTTTTGCAGGATGTGCTGGCTACAGGTACCTTCATCTCGAGCCGTAGCTGCCTCCTGGAGATAAAGCTGGTACCCGACGAAGGTGGCAAGCCATTTGTGATCATACCTGCGACTTACGATGGTAGTCTACCGTATCAATTAGGTTTCTCAATGACGTTGTTTACGTCGAAGCCGACGGCTGTGGTGCCTGTCTCGGACACGGGCTCAATTCCCGTCTGCTGCATTTGCCAGAAAGCACTAGCAGGTACTTTCCGTACGTTCACTCATGAGCAAGATGGTCAGATGAAAGTAGACCGCGTGTGCCAAGGTTCGTGTGTGGATGCTTACCGCGAGCGCAACACCCCTGTGTGCGTGGATTGTCATCAGCGCATCGAGGTAGTGGAAGGTCAATTCTCTGGCCGTATGTTTACTCTTCCTGATGGGTCTAGCGTGCACGCTGAGTGTATTGATGCTTACCAAATTCGAACGTCCGAGAAGTGTATCCATTGTGGTCATGCGATCGCTGCTATTCCTGGCCAGTTTGACGGCAAGTATTACCAGGTTACTGGAGGCAAATGTCACGGAGAGTGTATGGAGGCGTATCAGCTAGCCACTGCCCAGCGCTGTGTGCGCTGTAGCGAGCCTGTGGTCAAGATTCCTGGCAAATTTGATGGCCGCTTCTACAAGATCGAGGGCGACCGTCTTGTGCATTTCGAGTGCTGGAAGCTGTACCAGCAGTCCGTGGCGCCCAAGTGTGTGCATTGTGTGCAGCCGATTTTGCAGATTCCAGGGCGTTACGACGGGCGCTTTTACGAGCTGGCCAGTGGCATTGGTAAGGTGCACTTTGAGTGCTGGAGCGCCTACCAAACGCTGGCGACCGGATCGATGTGACGAAGCAATGGGGTAGCAGTGACTTCTATTCAACTACTAATCATTCATGGGCAGATGTAGGAAGCTGTTAGATGTGCTAGAAAGTGGGCGGCAGCTGAACCATTTGGCATGAGTTACAGATGACAATGATCCGTGATACGTGAAGCGATCGTTGTCATGTAGTCATAAAATTTTCATTACGCCAAATGTACGACTTCGCTACCAATTGTTGATGTCGTAACACGTAGGAGGATATGGTGCTTGACGACATCCGGCAACGTACGAGTAACGACTAAAATGACGTAGTGACTACCCAAATTCGCCAAATGTGGTAAATCTGCTCTAGTTTCCGAGCGCTTCGATACTGCATCTACCAAAAACCGTGCTAAACACGCGGTGCAAGACGCACTCGTTTTATACTGAAGTAAAGCTGACTTATACTTTAATCACACCTGCAAACAAATTACCAACACATTGCGAGATAGCGGCTCGTTTGATATGACGCGGCCTCCATATACAAACGAACACCATTTGATTTCGCTGGCAGCATACGTAATTTTCCGACTAGCAAACTTTTCTGCAGGAGCCACTGAGTGCGACCACATCCCATATCGTCGGGATGATGTTTATACTTATTAGCAAAATGACAAACTCCTTTTTGACGACTAAAATCAATCGCTCTTCTTCGTCATCAGAACAAATGAGTTGCGGAAACTAGAACTTGATGTGCACTATCAAGTGAACACGGAAACGACGAGCCGACGCAAAAAAAACTAGCAAAAAAGCGAAACTATAGGTCACAGACGCCCGTGATGTAAGTATAGATAATTGACTCTAAACTACTGTTAGTTAGCATGTGCAAATGCAAACTGACAGTTTGCTGCGTCGGGCGACAGTTTGAGCTGCAATACATTTAGACTCGATGAATGAATGGTTAGAGCGCTAGATGCAAGTACGGTGAAGGCATAGGTTGTTGAAGTTGTGATGTTACGATCAACATCGTCACGTTTAAACGACCGAAAAAACCTGTCGTATTTGTCGCTGTTGACCTCGATTCGCTCAAGTAAAACAGAAGTGTATGATATTGCAAGCTGTCATGAAAAAGAGCCCCACCATCCTACCCACGAGATACCAATAGTGGCACTACATAGGCAACAGGAGCGAGCGATCACGTTGATGTACTCGTCAATCTATGATCGGAACTTTTGTGTCTGTGTAAAATTGTCGTATCGTCATAGATGGGGCAAGGCATGAGGGGGCACGCTAAGAATGTCGTACATTGTCTGAACACGATGAAAAATGGGTGACAATGACCACCACAATGAAAACAGTTATCTTCAGCATGTCGGCATAGGTCCAGTGACTTCAAGTGATCGATTGAGGCAGGTGCTCTGTCAAAAGAGTCGTAAACGTCTGCAGGTATTTACAAGTAAGCGCATTAGGGATGTGCTACCCACATAGCTGTTTACAATACCAACTTCCGCTAATGGGCCACAAACTTCTACGATTGCGGTTCAAATAGCTTTTAAAAAAGTCAATTCGCAATTTCGAAGAACGTAGGCTGATTAATTTTGTGGCAAAGCTTTTGCGTGCATCTGTTATTTACTGTAGTCATTGTCTTGCCGAAGATCTGAGTGAGTCGAAGTGAGATGTCGCTAAGCTTGTCTCTATTATGTGTATTCGACTTACGGACCGAAACATAATCTCATCTCGAAGCGGCATTATCGCTTTTTCAGTAGGCTACGAATGTGAGATATATACGAAACGCCTTTTGCACAAGTCGTGAAAGTTTGGCTTTATATGCAGACCAACCTGATCTCAATTATAGAAACAATCAAATCGGTATTTCGCGCGCCTGCTTGTGGAACCGAACCAGACAAAATGCGTGAAGAAGGCGTTGGTACTAATTTTATGGGTACTGTACTATTCCTAAAGTTTCACGCAAACATGAATGCATGCGATTGGCGAGTGCGAGACGCACAAGTGTGTCGCAGCATGTGTGCAACTTGCCAAGGAATGCATAGGCGAGTTAAGCTAGAGGCATTCTCCGCCCTGTCATTGGGCTCTCGGAAGAAAAATCTCAAACAAACCGAGATAACAATGCTTGTTTCGAGCGACACAAACCATTGCAGCACACAAGCGATGGACTCCAGCCGACTCTGCGCTTCGCAATTCCACCGGCATATATCAGATTTTTGGTTAAGGTCGTGATAGTGCCGTTTTTACAAGTGCGAAACGAATATTGTGTGCTCAACATGCTATATTCAGGAGCTCACATATCCCAAACATTCTTGCTTCTTATTTCTCTGGGCTGTTGATGAGATGGTCTTCCCGCCAAAGTGGAAAACGTGAGTAAAGTTGGCTACGCCAGGAATCGATTGCTCTCAACTGATCGATTTCTATCCTAGCAAATATACTATGCAAAGGGCATGTTTCCTTAGGTGAACCATAACTCCCTCATGTATAAATCTCTTGCTAAAAGTCTCTGTAGTAAGCGCATCACAAGTAGTATACACACTCACCTACAACATCACCCTAAACATACATGACATTGGCGAAAAGGAAGACGAGTACGTCAGGCATCAAGATCACTTTGACCGAGTTTTGTCTGGAATGCCAGAAATGTACGGTAAAGCCAACAATGTTGGTGAATACAGGATCTATAACTGTCGTCTGTGAAACGTTATACTCTGATCATGAGGAACATTTGATTTTACAATTGTTGATATGAGCTCGGAAGGCTCCGGCTTTGGTATTGCCCATGAAAATTTGATTGACGTAACAACACATCTATTCAATGAATGATAATTTTTGTCATGATTGTCAATGCCTCGTGGCGGCTCCATCGATAGCAAGCTACGATCTGGCTCGAGATGTAGGCTATATGCTTTACTGGCGAATTAAAAACTACTTTTATTTGAACATACGGCTGAAAGTCAACGTCACTAACTCGTCCGTGGTGACGAGTGTTGCGCTACAAGCACGTTCGCTAATTTTAATTTAAATAACTAATCTACTCGAGAAATATCGACGTTGGCGCCGCCGCGACATTTTTGCTGTTGGCAGCTCTAGGGATAAGAGATGTTAGAAAATTTGCTATATCTTTTATCTTTTACGTATTAAAGATCGGTCATTGCCAAGCGTCTTTGGGCAGACAACCATCTAATCTTTTACAATCTTCGTATACTACACTGCAGCGGCTTCCTAGTGAAGTCTTTGGTCGTGTGCGTTTACGTCCCTCGAGAGCCTTCTCAATTTCGATTAATGTTAGCACTACGCTCCGGATGCTTGGCCAAAAAGGCTTCCCATACACAGGTGTAAGTGAAGTTGGTACCTCTGCTGCGTAGGTCGGAACTCGGCTATATCTTCGAGAAACACGTATTGAAAAATGGATAGTAAGATAGACGCTACGTATCCCAGATACCTCATCATTGATCCCACATCTGACGCGATTATAAACATCGCTTCATCACCCGGAGCAATGAAAAGCGTACCAAGTCCGAGGCCGATAACGCCAAAGATTTGACATTGTCACATTACCGATGACATGCAGATACAACTTATAGTGCGACGGACTATGTGTCCAGATGCACGACGAAGACTAGATGCCCGTCAACCCAGCTCCAACAAAAGCCATATCAATGGTCTCGCCAATCCTCCCAATCCACGTTTAAGCTTCGTAGCGGCACCAACTCTTTTCGAATCCTACAAACATAACAAGGGCGTTAATGACTTGATTAACAATACCCCTTTAGCCACATCCATCTCGTACGGATTCCAAACAAGCTCGTTTTCGTTGTCAGCCTTGGCATCCTTTTCCTGTGGCCGGCCCTCGAACTTCCTCGACAGCGACTGCAGTTCCGATGTTGAGTTGTGATTTATGTCAGCCTCCAGATTCATTGCATGCATCGCGCTTTCGGCAATAGCCGCCTGGTGCAGGCGGGCAATTTCCTCATCTTTCTGACGCTGGATTTCTTCACGCTGCTTTCGACGCTCCATATTCACGAAACGAGCATGCGACCACTACAAATATAACAACATTAGATGTACCACCTTTTTTTCATTTGCAAATACCAGCTTCCAAGCGGTGTCGACATACCTCTTCAAAAAACTTTGTCTGGTGATCGGTTAAATCCATGAGACCCAAATCAATCTCATCACATTGCTGTGGCACACATTTGCAAAGTGACAAGTCTCATTACTCCGATTTTCATTTCTGTCTCGCCCGTACAACTCACAACGACTTACCTCAAGTTTCTGCTCAATCTTTGCCGCGGCCTCTTCCTACACACATCGCCATGCAAACACAACATCCAAGCTCGTCACCTTACTGTATATACACACCAGCGCACCTTACTGCCATTCATCACCTCGTAACCAATCATATTGGCGATCGCATCTGAAAGCTGCGTCTTTAGATCTGCCACTTCACGAATGAATTTCTGTGCACAATAACCCCGCACCCACCCACATGCTCCGTCATTATCCATCGGCGTCATCTCTCCCCCATCACTCACTTACATTGCGCGCTTTCACCAGTCTCAAACAATCCTCTACTCTTTGCTTGATCGTAGAGGACGCCGTCGCTCTGTCTGCAACAAGGTCTGCGGCTGTACGGTACCTTGCAACGCTATCTTGCAGCAGCGATTGGTGCCTTTCTCCGATCCGCTGATTCAAAAACCGCACCGCCGTCTTGTGATGGTCGATTTTCTTTAGTACATCCAGCACTGGATTAACCGAGTGAGAGTTAAGTTTCATCGGCAGCACGTGGTGGAGCTCCGTCCCTGCATCCTCTTGATTGCTCAGCAGTTCAGCAATAACAGAGTCACTTCCCTTTCTCTCTCCTCGCTTTGCATCGGCATCTCTGCTAGCAGCTTCCAAGAACGGAGGCAGGTCTTCGCCTGTACAGTGCCACATCTTGAGCACTTGAGCGTCAGTAAAAATCTGCTTCTCGTGCCACAGCTCCAAGAGCCTCGTGACGTTCTGTCGGTCCATCGGGGAGTTGCATACGAGCGCCACAGCTTCCTCCAGGTGCTCGAGAAAAAGGTCGACAAACACCGACGTCTTGGGCCCTTCGGACTCGCTGAAAAGCGTCTTTTGCAGCACGTGATTGGCCACGTACAGAAACGCGACGCGCTCCGACTGGAAGTCGCTACCGCGCAGCATCTGGATCCAGCTCTGCACCATCTCCTTCGTCTCAGACGCGTTTCCAGAGCGCTGCATACGCGTCATACCATCGCTCACAGCCTCGACGCGCTCCTGCGTCTCGTCGAGCTCGCGTAAGTCGGCGAGGAACTCGTCCATCGTCGAATTTGGTTGGACGAAAAGTGCGGACCTGCTGGGTTCTGGACAAATGCAGTCGATACGTTAAGTAAAACTGCTGAAAGGTCGACTGAACTAGCTAAAAACATTTACAAAACCTGATAAAACAATTATAAAATTACTAAAAGCATTTCGCTTTCGAAATGCAAGTATGTTGGAAATATAATACTCGCACTTATGTTGATTGTGAGCTCGAAAGGGGGAGCTATTAGTGACTGAGCGCAAGGGTTGCATGCCGGGCATTTAATTCGTACTTATCGGCGTGTGTGTCTGTGTGTAAATAACGCGGTTAGGTGTATTTTACGTGGAATAAGTGCGATCTATCCTGTCCCCCCTCATAGGTATATAGGCATATCCAAAATTAACTTGGCCAGGTCCCTAATGTGACGCATGCACATGATTAACTTAAAATCGACTAAAGGCGAACATGATCACATAAGCAAACACTGGACGCTCACAAGAAACGGCTGTCGCGTAAGGAGTATGATGTTGTAGATGTCTGCATTTACCCGTACAGCAAGTATACTGTACGAATTTAATACAGACGTTAACAGCATCATACTCCTCATTCAGTGACTGTTGCTGTTGTGTAGTGTTTTGCAAGCTTGATTCAGTTCTCCGAGCAGAATTACTGATATCAAAGGGCGAGCCCCAGAGCTTGCTCCCCTACCTTATTCTATTACGCTGCACATTAAACAAATATGCTGAGCTGTCGTTACGCATACAGCGCCAGCTAGCTGAATATAAATGCTTATACAGTTGAGTTTCCCTTATCGTCGGATTCCAGGGTATCACGATCGGGTTCCGCGATCGGCAGGGACCAACAAATTCTAAAACGCATACTTGCCGACATGGAGTTCTCAAGAATAATTCAGAAGATGCAGGATCAGGTGGGAAATCTTCAACAAAAATCCCTCAAGCAACAAACTCTAGATATTTTTTTTGGAGTGGTCCCCCAGCAGCAGTTTAACATTTGTATGGCGGTAACTTCTTTTGTTTTAACAATAAAATAAAGGGAGTTTCTAATATTTGGTTGAGTTCGTCACCTTGTACTTTTAGTTCTAATATTTGGACTGAGCCCAGCCTGGGACTCGACATTTTTATTAAGTAAGGGAGAATATCAGTTTAGAGAATAATATATTACGAAAACTCTACTATAATCATATCGTTTGTTGTCGCTCCGTCTTTGTATCACCTGAACTCGCTTTATTGTCACACAAAATAATGCACGTCTGAGTCAGCAGATCATTTCGGCCAGACTGACTGCTAAGGCACAGGACATTACGCGGACCCACGAATAGAAGACGGACGCACTTTCAGAGCGTCTGACTAATGAAGGCAAACCAGTGATTGCCTTACTAAACTTGCCCCGCTTTGTTGCTATGGGCGTCGAGGCTGTCGCATGATAGCACGATGACAACTCGGGCTTAAGGCACTGGCCATGACACTGACTCACATTTTATTGTTTAGGTGCAGCCGGTACATTTAAATGCTCTAACGACCTGGTACTATCCTCTTCGGCAGAGCTTACACATCCCGTCCCAGCCCGCGACTATTGTACGGCGCGACGGACCTGTTACTGGCCGAATTTCTGGGTGCCAACCAGTCCCGGAGGCCCGACTATTCGTTGTCGAGGGTTCATGCCTCTTTGAGAGGCTTGTTTCACACCCTTTTTTTAAGGACCTTAGGTTATTGGATTGGTACTGGGCTGACCGTTTTACAGAGGTGGGAACCCCGACTTTGACTTACCTTTTCGGTTGAAATTCAAAAGGGCTGGCTTCAGAATCGTACCACAATTACTCACAGCGCCGCCTATGTGATCCCCTCTTGAGACCTCAATTCACTTCTTGGCTGGCGGGACGGCTGCAGCCAAGCAGAACGACCGTTAAATATGATCACCATATCTTCGTGGTTTTTGTCACAAGAGGAGTGTCGGACTGCTGTTGAAAACCCAACGATATTCTCTAGAGTTTGGCTGCTCAACTAATTGTTGAGTGGCAGTTGTGTTTTTGGCAGCGTTGATGCATTTGGTCTTTCTATGATGTGATACGCAGGTATCATACAGACATAAAAAATGATGAACGACCCAAACTCCAGGATTGAACATACTTTGGTGGTGTAAGTAGTTAAAGTCAACGTGTAATTTAAAATTTGGCAAAAGAGTAAAGGGGGGAGGTACTACGCACACCGGAGCTAGGTTTTCTAACCTGCAGCCATTCCCTACGATGGCAATTCGACTCGATAATGAGCAAGTCAAGAGCATGAGGTAAAATCCGCACGTTGGAAATATTAAACTGTGTTCGGGACGAAATTACCATCAAATGGGCGCACATGCTCCATTCATGATGTACAGCAAGCACTCAAGTCAATCCAGCATATCTTTGTCGTGAAAGCTTTCGTGACCACCGCAACTAGCTGAAATTTACATCACATGCGAAAATAAGTGCTCATCATCACGGCAATGCACCTTAGGCAACATCAATGTTGTCTCGTCGTCGTACTCATTTGTCAACATGCGATAGTCCGCGCGAATGGGTACTCGCTGGTTCATTGCTGGTTGACAATACACGTTGTCCAGAAAGAAAAACTTTGATGCTGTAGAATCGTAGAGACCTCGCGCGCGATCCAAGCGGATACATTCCATAAGTGGCAGGTACTTGGCAGCAGCGGGGTAAAGTGTAAGCACGTGATAGTGAAACACCAAGACGATGGCAATGAGCACAATAATTAGAATCGGGGGTGCAGCTGCCTTCTTGAGCGATAGAATCCCAATGAGCGTCAGCTGCGCAACAACGAGTGCGATGATGCAAAACTTGAACATGCGCGGCCAGTAAGCTCCAAGCGCAAAGTGCGTGGGCTTGTACACGCAAAGTACCTGCCGCCGGTAGACTAGTTCAGCCACCAAGAAGAAAAACCACGTGAAGTAGCAAACTAAAGGCGCAATTGGCGCGAATGTCAGCGTGACAAGCAATATCAGAAAGCAGTCGGCGAGAGGGTTCGTCGGGTCGAAAGGATCCGTCTGCACGATATCACGCAAGCCGAGCCACGCCGAGGTGCGTTCACGCCGCGTATCTTTTGGCGCCAGAAGAGCAAAGAGAGCGGATACTATCAATGGAACCACACGTAATAACTCGAGAACCAGTCCAAGACCCGTTTGTACAATCACATACGAGATGAAGAATGTCGACTGCTGAGGCATGCTGCGTCCAAGCATCGACACCAACTTCTTTGGCTGGTCCAAGATCTCTTTGAGACTGTCCAAGATTGTACCGACAATCACAGTGACGAAGAAAATCTGAACTAGCTGAAAGTATGCTAATTTCGAGAAAAGTGCTGCACGAACCTCGGTTTTTGAGGGATGTCCCTCGCGCCCCGAAAGAAAGTTAAACACGATCGGCGCCAAAGCACTAAGTGCAACTAGAGCCAGCGGTGCAATTTGCTGGAAAATGTCTTGTAGAATCGGGTAATCGTCAAATGCTTGGTTCAGAAATGGTAGCGCACGTCGAAGAGACTCAACAGTGGCCAGAGAAGCCACCAAAGCAGTAGGAATAGTCCAGAATAAAACAATTGCCGCCGAGATCAGGGTCGAAACAAGCGTACCGATGGCGCGGGTTCGGTAGTCGAGCCCAATGTTATCCCAATTAATGTCAGCTGCATGCGGAGCTGGCGCAACAGCCATGTGCGCAGGGTTCTCTGTTTGCAACGTCTGTTGAGCTACCTGCGTCGACATTAGCGACGTGAACGAAACAAAGGCTGCTCGCCTCATTACTCGCATCGGCCGCTCTTTGCGAGCTTTCTCGCGCTCTTCTTGACTCATTTCCCGTTCTTGTTGGCGCGCTCTCTTATCATCAACCTTGTGAGCATCATCACCCTCACAGCTGCTCCGCATTTGCTCTGCATGACCCCGTCGATCAAGCAGCGGGGCTTTCTTCGGATCTGCATTTTGCTTTGTTCTTGCCATAATGTTGCTCCCACTTCCTCCATTCTCTAGCAACTGCAATTCATCATCAATATCAGTACTACCCATTTCGTGTTCCTGATCTTCCAATTGTGCAGCAAGTTGCGACTGAGCGTCATCAATACTCTGAATTTCTCTTGCAACATCTTCATTCAACGTCGCCAATTGGTCCTGCAAATAATCAATACTGTCCACCTTGTGGCCTTGACTTCCGGCTTTACACAAGAGCATTCCCACCCACGACTTCCCTTCTTGATGCCGTGGTCGCTTGCGCGAGCGCTCATACTTTGCCAATGCATGTTCCAGTGCTCCACGTACTTGCTCCCGTCGCTCGACCAGTTTTTCCAACGTAGCGCATTCAAGTGCCACGTACACGTTTCGGATCGACGACGGAAATATCGTGGCCATATACTTTCTCAGCGTCTCCCGCGTCCGCAGATGCACTGGCAGGTCCGTCACAAGCACCGAATACTGAGGCGCTTCCATTTTGCTGAGCACTTGATGTCGATACCGGACGTACATTTTGTACTCCTTTACGAGCAAGCGCATCGCATATGTCGTCATGACAAATGCGACAACGGTTGGTGCCCACAATCTGTCGCTCTTTTCCGGTAGATTACTCATGGAAATCCTTGTCAGCGGATCAACAACCCATTGATTGGTTGACGACGGGGTCCCTGCAGCCGTAGCAAACACTGGGAAGAGCACAGCCGAGCAGCCAATTGCCAGTAGAGCCAGCTTGTGACCAAGTCTCAAGAAGCGAAGGAACATCAATGTATCCAGTCCACATTTCTCCAGAATTTCGTCAGCAGACGCTCGAAAACCTGCAGGAATCCAGCGAAAGAGTTTGTCATGAGATACACTTGCGTTCAATATGTCTTCGTCTTGACGGCGAATGTCGTAGGCTCGACGGAAGTGTCTACGAATACACTCAAAGAGCAGCACTCCCGCTGCTAGTAGGGGAAAGTAGATGGATACACTAGTTTTAATAGTGCCACTCGGATTGGCATTCGCTGCGGCTGCGTCTTGCTGAGTCGTGCTCATTCTCTTTTCTTCTCTGCGAAAAGTATCTTTGAGTGGGATCGGGCGTAAGAGCTCTTTACCTTTTATGATGTTCTTCACACAAGTGTATACCGAATTACTTATCGATTGTATTCAGGACAGTTATGTACGTTGTAGATTCAATGACGCTATGACAAATAGATCTGATCACTGTAATTGGCGGAAGTCAAAGCGTCCCGACACCTCTAACATTAGCGAGTCGACAAATGACTTTGCATTTCGCACAGGAGTCTCCATCAAGACACACAGACTCTCTACAGATCGACACCCACAAGCACGTTTGCTTCATCATCGTAAAGCCTAGCAGACAAGTATCATATCGATATTTATGGGACACATCTAAGCATAAGTTCTTTCAACATCGTTGCTGCACAATCGACGAGGATGATGAGCAAGCTAGATAATCTATCATTTACATCTGTGGCACAATATTTGCTCGATGCAATGTCAGCAACTTCCAATCATCCGCTGCGTTGTTTAATCGTTTGTCTTCGGTCGATCACAAATCGTAAGCGTTCATTTTTACAAGATGATTTGACACATGATCTGACACACAGACTAAGTCATTGCGGTGTAAACAGCGCTCTGACCAACTGTGCTCGTTCCACCACTCGTAGCTCTGATAGTGTACCTACAGTTTTGTAGGTCTCTTGTGGTACTTTGCGGCACGCATAAAACCTTAATTCACAGTGCTCTCTGTCTTCAATAATTAGTTCATGAACCGCTACCATACTGGAATGTTGCATCCATAAACGCTACGCAAAGATACCTAGTTGTGCAAGGAAGCACTTGCAGATGACAAGACGCTTACATGTAAAGGAGTTAGCTATCGGTAATAAAGTAGTGGCTAAAGTATGCATCGGTTGATTGAAAATGAATTGGAACATGGGACGCTTGGAGGACGAGCGTCCCACAATAAATCTGCTGCGCAAAGTCCAGCCACGATTTATGCTCATCCAGATAGCGATGTCAAAAAAATGCTTAGCATAAGAGTACGGTTGTAGCTGAGAGTGCAAAAGGTCTTAGTAATGTACAAAAATGCCATATGTTTATCTTTGCTGACTCTGCAGAATACAAGCTCACTATCGAAGTATTTTTCCAATGAATAACCTATTGAAGATGTTGTGTGTAAACTGTTTTTTAGATATATAGCAAGAAGGTTGACATAATAATTTCAGTTTGCGAGCTTTGTTGCATAAGCTTATTTTTCAAACAGTTAATCTGAACGTGTACGAGTTACAATAATTAACGCGGCGATGCTTGTACTTCTATGACACGCTGGTCATTTAGGACCATCGTGGCGTATCATACGCCAAGAGCAGCATGTTTTGCATCTGATGTACACTGCACTGCTGTAGGGGGGGGCGACACATTTTCAGTATCGGTGAAGAACGGTTTGTACGGCTTCAGGCCTACAGCGGTGAAGAGTTGACGCTTGGAGACAATGTGAGTGTAATGAATTCTGAGTGAAAGCGTTTGGGCGTCCGCCTACTGAAGTGACGACGAGAATATGCTGATCCGTGCTAGTGTTTGTACTGAGGCATAGCTTTGTCTACCCAGGCATTTTGGTTCGACGTAGTATTAGACCCCGACAAGCACATGACGCGGTATTGAACATCGCTCTCTTTTCACTTGTATCGTATAAAGTATTCCGACGGACGCTTTTGTGCAATTTTGTTCTCTGCCGAAGATGATACGTAAACAATGCGTTTCATAGGTGCCTTATAGGGAGGACGGGACACCCGCAGCTGGTAAGTGCCACAATGATAAGGAATCTGCTGCTTATTTTGCGACGACATGAAATTGTATTTCTTCTAACCCTCAATTCCACGAGAGAAGCTTTGAGCAACAAGTTGAACGATCTGAAGACGAACGTCGTCAAAGAACTCAATCGAACATAGTAGCGCGTCTGACAACAATAAGATCGTAAGAAAGTTGCAACAAACAATGCCGACGGACTTATGCACTTAATGTCTTCACTTCTCAGGTGCTATATCAAGGGTGGGTATTGCCATACAAACACAAGCGCCCACATGTCGGATAACTACCTCCAGCGACCAGACTCAGGAGCACGGGCGGACTCACGAGACGAGCTCTCGCGGTCTACAGCACGTTGCGGGCGGTAAGGTCCGTCACGCTGGAAACGGACAGAGACGTCGCCTTCGCCGGTACGACCCCCCAGGCTTTCTCCCTCACGGTCCCCACCACGACGAATGGAGCTTTCACCGCCATCACGGTCGCCACCACCGTGGCGGTCACCCCAACGTGAACCACTCGCCTCACGATCAGCGCCAAAAGCCCGGCGGAAACCACCTTCATTCTCAGTGCGGTCGTCACCGCCGCGACGAAACAAGCTTTCACCATCACGGTCGCCACCGCCTCGACGAAACGAGCTTTCACCATCACGGTCGCCACCGCCACGACGGTCACTCCAGCGTGAACTGCTCTCTTCGCGCTCGGCACCGAAGACTCGGCGCAATCCACCATCATTCTCAGTACGGTCGCCGCCAAACGGACGACGCAGACTGCCACCTTCACGTCTATCGCGCTCACCGAAGCTTTCGCTAGCAGAAGGTCCGTGGCGCTCCCACCGACCTTCGGGAGCTGCAACTTGGGCACGACTAGATGAGCCGCCACGAGTAACCTGAGTCCACTCGCCATCACCCTTGTCACTGCCACGGTGATCATCATCCCGGCTACGGTACGAGTCGCGGAATCCTCCAGATAGTCCACGGGCCCCAGCGCTACCAAAACGACCCTGGCTGCGCTGCTCAACTCGTTTCTTCTCCTCCTCGCTTTCACGCTGCTCCTTTTGCTTCCGCTCCTCTTCTTCAGCAATACGAAACATCTTGGCATCTTCCTCTTCCTGACGGCGCAGCTTTTCCTCAACCTCCAGTTGGCGCTGACGTTCACGTTCGGCCACCTCCTCGCGATGAATGCTTTCCTTCTCTTCTTCTTCCTCACGCAACCGGCGCTGCTCCTCCTCATAGCGCTCCTTTGCGTGTGCCACGCGAATGCTTAGACGGTCCAGCATAGCCTTCTTCTTTTGCTCCTCAGACGCCTTCTTGTACAGTTCAATCCGCCGGGCTTTGTGAGTCTCGACAAACTTAGAACTCACCCGGGAAGCCACGGCCAGACGGGCCTTCTCTTTCAAACCATGTTCATGTTCTTCTTCGGCACGTTTTAGCTTGGCAGCCGTTTCTTGCTCGTAGTGCTTCAGAGCCTCAGCCTTAGCCTCAGCAACCTGGACTTGCAAGATAGGCTGCTCTTCCTCGCGTGTTGCACGCACAATGTAGTCCAGACGACGAGCATTTTCGCGCAGCTTTTGTTGAGCAAGCTCTTTCGCCTTGCGAGCCTTTTCCTTGGCTTCGTTTAGTACCTTTTCCGTGTCAATCATAGACAGGTCAAGATCGGTCAGGTCAGTGTGGCCAAGCTTGTCCAACATCTGACGAGTTTCCTTCAGCTTAATCTCATCCTGAATCTTCTGCTTCTTCTCAGCCTCGCGACGACGGGCATCCTGACTCAGGCGCTCCCTCTCGAGCTCTGTGCGTCGTTTCGCAAACTCGATGCGCTTTTGTTCTAGAGACTGCAACTTCTCGTGCTGCAGCTTCTCGAGCTCTTCTTTCTTCCTTTCGATAATCTCACGACGGGCCACCATCTCATGGTGCTGCTTGTTCAAGCTGGCACGAGTGGCTGCAAAAAGCTTCCGCTTCTCTTCGTGGCGAGCAGCTTTAGTGGACGAGGCGGTAGTAGGCACTTTGCTCATGGCACGTGAAAGACGTTCGCCCAGAATAGTAAGCTGGGCAGCATTCGCCTCCAAATCCAACGCGTCGCTGAAGCGAATGCACTGCTCCACGTGATCGATGCGAATTTTAGTACGCGCCTGTGCCGACGATACAACGTCTGCCGACGAAGTCTCGGCATTGTTGCTGCCGTGCTGGGTGACATTGCGGCGATACATGCTGGATAAACTGGGAGCACTGGCGGATGCAGCAGTGCTCAAACTTCGGGATCGCGCAATCAACGTCTCGATCTCCTCGTAAGACACGTCAAGACCATCAAAGATGGAGCGGAGGTGGGCTATGGTCACGCTAGCGTACACATGGGTAAGCTGGAATAGCACGCGCCGAACCACGAGGCGCTCCACTCCATCGGCATAGGATTTTGCAAGTGGATCAGCGCGAATGGTCGTCAAGAATGGATTGAGCTGCTTCACAATCTGCAGAGGGTCCACCTCCTGCAGCTCTACACGTAGAAAGATCTCGCTGGCTGCATTCGAGGCCTTGGGTAGCAAACCAGCGGCTTCAATATCCTCAAGCAAATTGGCACGCGTCGGTGTTGTGGCAAAGCCCAGTAGAGAAGCCATCCGTGAGTTCTTGTCACGAGCAGCAGCAGAGAGCGAATTGTCAGCGACCTGCGTCATCGAACAAGGCTCGTTGCTGCTCAAAACGGATGAGGCCGATTCAAAGTCCAGCAGCGGGATTGACAAAGCAGCGAGTACCACACGCGTAGCGATCTCTTTGTGCACTTCTTCCGAGACAAGCACCGGAAGCTTCCGCAGCGCCTGGGCGCCACCCAGTCCAGGAAGACCAGCCACCCGTAGTGAGTACCACTTGTACAGGGCATAAGCGTGAAACAAATGGTTCTTGGACACCTGAAAGATTTGCGCGAGTTTCTCGTAGTACGTGACGAGCAGATCGACGCGCGGGGTTTGCTCCACCAAATTTATGATGTTGTTAATGTCGTCAATAGTGCGAAAAGCTTCCGAGAAGAGCTCGAGGTCCGTGGCAACTTGAAGCTGACGGTAGCGCACTTCAAGCAAAAGCTCCACACTTTCGAGCGTAAAGCCGTCCCAGCTACGCATCTGACGCGTCGACTGGCTCGTGGGTGTTGCCACGTGCTTCTGCAGGGCGCTCATGTGGTTGCGCATGATTTCACACACTCGTCGGAACTCAATCTTGCGCTGGTACTCGACACAAAAGTCAAACGTCTGCATAGCTGTCACCTTGTACAGCACCTCCAGCTTCGAGTTGCTCTTAAGTATGTCCAGCACCGTGCGATACGTTTCCCACATGAACCGTAGCCACGGGACGACGACTTCACGGTCCGTGCGGTCGTTCGAGCCCTCAAATGTCGTCGTGGACAGCATCACGTCCTCTGGCGTCTGGGCAGCATCCAAGTCCACCATGGCAGCAGCCAATAGATTCAGTTCATTGCTCTGCTGCTTAGCAGCTGCGAGCTTGCGCTCCGCCTGGAGGACAAAGTGCTTGATGATCGTCTCGAGCGACGCGGGATTGTGCTGGATGGACAAGTTGCGGTACTGGTGGAGTCCGTCCTTTGCCACGCGCCCCATTTGGAGCTCCACGCAGATGTCCAGATACAAGATCATGAGCTCTTCATGGGTCGGTTGCCATGTGCGGTTCTTCTTGGCGATGAGGGCGTCGTGCAGGATCTCGAGCGCCGAGTGTTTCGTGCGCTTGAGCACGCCCGCGTCCACGTTAGGGATCGCCAAGAGCTCGCGCGCGCGCTTCAGCGCGTTCTCGGGCTTGTGGAAGAAGTGCGACATGTCACTGCACTGACGGTCGTTTTCGAGGGCCGTAAGAAGAGACCGGTGAACGCAAGGACGACTTTCGTCTGTAGCTTCTTACTGGAATAAGATCTACGGGGAGATACGATAGTGACGGAGGAATTGGTGGTCCGCAGCGGAAGCGAGAGGGTTGTGTGGTACACGTTAAGTCAGGGAATCTGTTGAAGGATGGTTATGCACGGACGTGTGGTATGATAAACCACAATCTGACGCCTCTAGTATTGAACGAAGCCGGTCCAAAGTACTGACGATTCGAGTCACGGCTCTGACTAAGATATTGGAAGTAGCCAATCCGGTGGCAAATCACCAAAGAGTCGCACTTGGCCACGAAGAAGTGTAGGAAGGTAAAAATACCTGGCTAGTTGGCAGCTGATTTATGTGCGGGGGCTCTGGTCCATTCCATGTGCAAAGCTTTTCTGCACTTCTCCGACACTTCTCGTGAATACGCTTACTTGCCTTCGCTTCGGCCGCTGGTGGACGCAGTGGTACGAGCAGAAAAATACTCACGTTGTGACGGGGTAGCCCGTTACATGAAATTGACACCAAACGGTGTCAATAGGAATATTGTCTAGCATGACAATATTCTACCAATATAATCCAGGATGGATAAAATTGAAGGAATTTTATCCCTTTTGGATAAAATTCATGTGCTGCTCCAAGATTGGCTGGTATCAGACATATCAACCATAGATTGCCACCAATCGCTGCTAGACGCGCGTAATGAGTGGTGTGCAGGTTGTCGTCATACAACGGCGTAGTTTAATATAGTTAGATAAAGATTAAAGTTATATTGTTAGCTAAACTATATTAAATACAATTTTCTTTTTACCTTTACTCAGCTTAGTTATTGAGTAGATTAGCTTTCTCTGCACGTACGAGCGTACGTGAAGTTCGCGGCACCCAAACAAAGGGTGCCCCGTTACACCTGGTAGCACTTCGTAGTCCGTCCAACGACTACTTAGTGTCCGTCCAACATGAACATGTTGGACGTAGAAGACGACAGCTTTCACGTCACACGTGAAGGCTACTCCTTTTTGAGTGACTCAGAATGGGAGGTAGCCGGCCACATGAGTGAGCTCTTGGGCAAACCCGCCATCAGTGGTATGTTGGAGTCTCTAAGCAAAGACCAGCAACATGCTGCCATCAACAAGTTCCTACAAAAGGGAACTTGCCGTTGAACGACAGAAGATAGCCTTGCTACAGCAGCAAGGCTCTCATCAGTCGATAGATGGGCGGACCGACGCACATGCGTCAACCCGAAACCTTGAAAATTGATAGCTCAAGGCACAAGGGAACCGATGAAGATTCCCTTTTGAGACGGTTCGTCGAGTTGGACGATGCCATCAGGGCCCGTCTCATCGAGGGTGACGAGATGCAAGTCACCTTCACCCTGTCAAATTTGACGGGACGAGCAAAGACTTGGGCCTTAGGACTCAAGCTTCACGACCTAAACGTGTTTGAGTTGCTGGAGATCTTGAAGCCTCGGCTCAAAGAGACGTTTGAGCCGCCGAGAGCCGAGTTCAGAGCACGCTCTGCACTCTTGAGGCTAAAACAAGGTTAGAGTGATGTGCACGCTTACGCACAGCACCTGCGCTACCTTGCGAGTAGCGTTACGGAGAACCCTGTTGATGAGCACACGCTCATCAACGTGTTCATCTACGGCCTTGTGGATGGGCCGGTGAAGACCTACATGTTCCGAGAGGACTTCCATACGCTGGAAAGGGCGATAGCGTATGCGGAACGAGAAGACTTCAGCCTGATACAGTATCAGGATAACTCGTCAAACTATCGTCCGACGAGGCGACAGGAAACAGGAGGTCCCGAACCAATGGACCTCTGTTACATCGAGAGCGAGAACTCTCGCTCTCTGAGTCACAAGCGAACGGCAATATGCCATCGCTGTAAAAAGATTGGGCAATACGCTCATGAGTGTAGTGTCCCATGCACCGCATCACGTCCGAAGACAGGACGTTATGACCACCGTTGGCCAAGGAAGGGTCCGAGGCGTAAGTCCGACCATGTCGCTAAGCCGCGACAGCAAGTTGGACCGTCAAAAAAACGGTCAGGGTCAGTAGGGGTGGGGCACCCTGCTGACCCAGCAACGTCAAGAGAATTTGCAGGACTCTTGACGTAGATTGCTTCCAACACGCAGTATCCGTGTGTTACTGCCCCTAGTGATGAGGAGTCTCTCATCACTTTGAATATCGAAGTGACAAGTGGAATGTCACTTCGCGCCCTAGTTTACTGTGGGGCGTCGAACAGTTTTATTCGACGCCCGTCGCTAGAAGATAGTAGACTCAACTATGATGAACGAGAGTTCCCTCCAACGAGGATAACGGTGTGCCTCGCTACAGGCGCATCCGTAACAGTGAACAATGTGTAGTGGGAATCCACTACGCGCTAGAAGGAAAGCAGTACGATGATGACTTCATCGTACTAGATTTGGATGATAAATTTGATGTCATCCTTGGTATGCCATGGCTTAGAAAATATCAGCCATGGGTTAGCTGGCAGCATCGATCCGTGAAGATGCCTGCCGTTTGTCCATCGGATGCCATCTGATGAACGTCTTGGAGCGTCCACAAGCGTGTGGATGTACTACGAGTGAGTGCGGTGGCCTCACTTGTGGTACGGTCTTTAGTATGATTGCACAAGATCACAGTGTAGAAGGTCACTGCACTGTGGAACTAGCCTCCGACACCTGTGTAGAGACACAGGCTGCGCCAAAGGTTCACCACTTGAAGAGATCGAGTGGACTGGAACACGGATGCACACACAGAAGAGGTGCATCCGAGAAGAAAGATTAGTGTTGTTTAGGATGGAAAACACGCTGAAGCGAGATCGGCTATCAGAGATTCTGTCGTGGAGCAAGCCCGATCGACTGAAAGAGAGTCGATCGAAGAGGACGTGACTGTGGTAGTACACCCACAGTCAGAACAAGTATTGGAAGAAAGTTACAGCGTTTCTGAGAGTGATAACTCCCGAAAGAGTTATGTTGAGGGTGTGAATCTCCAACCACATGCGGGTGTGTTTCCCAGGAAATCACCGAAACATTGAATGTATTGGTGAATGAAGGGTCAAGTGTAGGCGCTTATACACTTGATCTGGTTACAACTCCGAAGTCAGCCTCGGAGGTGGTCAAGTTGCCAACGCTAGAATCTAAAAGATTGTTGCGAGATCTGCGTAGTGACAAGATCAAGCAGATATGCGTACTCGTCACAGAGGAGGAGCACTTCGCCGATACTCGGTCGGCACAAGTGTTTACTGAGAACGAACGGGTTCTCTGTAGCTCATTGATGGATGAGAGTGCCCTCGATGAGAAGACCCGTATTGAGCGATACACGTCTCAATCTTTGGAGTCTTAAAAGACAAATCCTTTGTATAAGGATTTGGCAGAATTCAGGGATGTTTTCCCAGAATCTGTGCCATGCGAGTTGCCCAAGAACAAAGGCACTCGGCATGACATCGAAGTGAAACCCGGTTCGAAGTGCTGTGTAATGAAGCAGTGGCCACTACCTCGTGAAAAGGTCACAGCAATCTACAAATTCTTTACCGATCGTTTAGCGGCTGGTCATGTGAGGGAATCAACATCCCCACACAGCTCTCCGACCTTCTGTGTGCGAAAGGCCACAGGAGGGTGGCGGATAGTGCACGCGTTCAACAATTTGAATGCTGCAACGGTACCAGCTCAAACGCCGGTACCAAGGAAGGACATCATCATAGATGGTATGGCAAAAGTACCATCTTTTCGTCCATGGATCTGATGGATGGATTCTATCAGATCCTCATGCGTGAACGGGACATCCCGTACCCAGCAGTGAGCACTCCCAGTGGTACGCTCGGTTGGTGGTTAGTGATGCCTCATGACTAAGTAACGCCCCTGCAACGTTCAGCAGATGTGTTACGAATCTGTTGCGATCGGTACGCGATTTCGCACCGCGTTACTTCGACGATGTCTTTGTCCATAGCCGGGCTATGGATGGAAAGACGAACGTGGATTTTCATAGAATCCACGTCCGGAAGGTTCTTACACTAATACGAGAGCATAAGTTGTTCGCGAACCTCAAGAAGTGTATATTCGCAGCGATCGAAATACCACTTCTTGGCTGAATCTTGGGTAAACACGGCGTATGCCCTGATCCCGAAAAGATTAAGGCGATTAGAGACTGGCCTGTGCCAGTAGGCGTCAAGGGACTTCGAAAGTTACTTGGCTTGGCAGCGTATTTGCTCAAGTACTCGCGCAACTACGCCGAGATGACCGTACATCTCTCTTGTCTACAAAGGAAAACGAGAGGTGGTCATGGAGGCTGAGTGTCAGCACTCTTTTAAAGGCATCAAGAAAAGATTGATAAAAGTGCCTGTGTTGGCGATTGCAGATCAGGACAGGCCATTTCATGTGGTCGGTGACGCCAGCGATTTTGCAATCGGCTGCGCGTTGATGCAGTACGGCTCAGACGGCGTTGAGCGCGTCGTCTGTTATCAATCGCGTCAGCTGCAAGCAGCTGAGCGTAAATACCCGGTGCATGACAAGGAACTCCTTGCCATGAATTGTGCTTTGGCTAAGTTTCGGGAATACCTCTTAGGAGATAGGTCCTTCATCGTTTATACCAACCATACGTCGTTACGCACGGCCGTAAACAGTACACAACTCTCGCAACGAATGGCGAGGTGGCTGCCTTTCTTCGTGTAGTACAACCTCTCCGTCGAGTATAAGCCAGGACGACTTAATGTCGTCGCTGATGCTCTTTCGCTTCGGCCCGATTTCGAGCCGACTGCTCAACCCAGCAGTAGGGGTGATCGCACTGTCGCGACACTAAGAGTGAGTGTTCCGTCGTCGAACCTGCTCGATGACGTGCGGAAAGCATACACAGAAGATTAGTCTCTTCTGCGGCTGATAGATTAGGTATCCATTCCGTGTAATCAAGCTTTGAAAAGCTTGTCGTCTCAATACCGCTCTTCAACCGAACGATATTCTGTTCGTGATGGACTGCTGTACTATACAGCAGTCAACGGCGACACACCTCGTGTCGTCGTTCCGGCTCATAATGGATTACGATTGCGCATCATGTATGAGTGTCACGATGCCCCAACAATTGGGCATCGCGGTAGAGAAAAGACTTACCTCACGGTGATTCGTGACTTCTACTGGCCTCGCCAGTATGAGTTTGTGCGCAATACATTCGCGCTTGCAAAGTTTGCCAACGGGTGAAGCAGATTCCTTCATCCCGCACACCCTTGCAGCCTCTTCCGATTTCGACAGAGTGTTGGCAGTCCGCATCGATGGACTTCGTCTTCGGGTTTCCCAAAGACGTTCACAAGAATACTGGTATTCTTGTGTTTGTTGATCGTTTCAGCAAGATGGTACATCTTGTTGCTGTACCGGAGTCAATCACAGTCCAGGGCTGTGCTCGTGTCTTCATCGATACTATCTTCCGACTTCACGGGTTTCCCCTTGAACTCGTGTCCGATAGGGACCCCCTATTCACAGCGGAGCTCTGGCAATCCGTGTTCGATTCACTTGGAACACGTTTAACGATGTCAACTTCTGACTATCCAGAAACAGATGGTCAGACGGAACGCGTCAACCGCGTTCTCGAAGAGATAATTCGAGGGTATGTCCACTCGTTTACGAGCTGGAGTGATTTCTTGCCGATGGCGGAATTCGCCATCAACAAATCGGTGCACGCGTCTACAATGCACAGACCGTTCTTCGTGAATGGCCTACGCCATCCACGTTTACTCGCCTTCTTAGAATGTGACTCTAGTTGAAGGGCGGGTGGACTCGCTCGAACATAAACCCAATCTGGCTCTTGCTCATCACCCGTCGACAATGGTGTCGACGTGATGGATGCCGATGTCGATGCGATAGACATCGATGATGATGATGATGATGACGAAGATGCTGGTATATTCAGCATCGCCAATTACTGCCATATTGAGGACGATGACGCCCTCACTGGTGAATTCAACGTTCTTTCAGCAGTGTACAAGAAGCGCACTGCTGTTGACAAGGATGAATCAGCAGATGAATTTTTGCTGACTCGCGAAGCGGTTGTTCGCTTTGTTCAAGACTCTATTGCAGATGCACTATACAGACAGAAGAGAAACGCAGACAAACACGAAAGAGCAAATTTTCTTTCATTTGATGAAGGAGACCTAGTTTTACTGTCTACAGTAAACCTACCGAAATACGCAGTGACAAACATGGGCAGCAGCAAATTACTGCCCAGGTACATCGGTCCATTTTGTGTGTTGCGCCGCGTGTGCAACGCATGCACGATTGAACTGCCTCGTAGGATGAATACGCATCCTACATTTTACGTCGGAGATCGCCGCCCGTGTTATCAGTACGATCCCGTTTTGAGATGCGAAGAACACCTCCGCGGTCTAGAGTCGAGACCACCCTCGATTGGTCCCGTTTCAACGAACCAGTCTGGTCGACTAGCGAAGCAACCTTCTCATGCAGCTCAGCGATGTCTCGACGAGCGGCAGCCAGCTCGTCACGAAGAGAACGAATCGAACGTTCGTTCTCAAGTTGCGCGAACGCAAATGCGGCACGATCGTTCGAACGATCGTGCGCTAAGGAGTTTTAATTATCATTTACAAGGTCATGGAGCTCATGACGCCGAGTCCGTTCATGAACCAAGTCATCGTGTAACTGTTACGTTACACGGTTCATCTCCTGAACATCAAGCCGATCCAACTAGCGATTATTCCGACGAATCTCCGCCTCACGCAAGTCCATCCAACGATAGGACGCGTGGGGATGGTGGTGATGCACCCATGCATCACCACGAGCGAAGTTATTTGAGGGATTGGGGTAACACTGGTGCCAGTGATCATGCTGGCACCAATCAAGAGGCCAGGGACCGAAATGTCGTGCGCCACGCTTCCCCATTGGAGTCTCCTTGGATGACGCTATCCAAAGAGTTGGACCGGTTGGCCGGCACGACTACCGAACGGGATCGAATCCTGTTGTTCGATTGCAGGAAGATTTGCCCACCTGATTCCAGCACGGAAACTATCCGTGCTGAGGAAGAGTTCTTCACATATGCGTTCTTTAAGCATCGGTTATAGAATGGTAGCCGTGTTCGGGACGGCAAAGCCTTGGTGCAGGGATGGAATGCCTTCATCCACAACATCGAGTGTATTGGCCGTGAGGCTTGGCTCGCCAAACTTGATGCAGCTCGCATCAGGTTTGAGAAACGTAAACCAGTCGGTGTACAATACAAGTTGCACCGGCTGTCAAGAGAGGCAGTGTTACCCTGTCTATAATGGGATGAAACGTGCCCAAGTTGCCTGTACAATGCGAATTGTGCACCTAGGGAGGCTTAACTCCCCAATATTCCCTACTTGAGGGAGAGCATCTCTTCTGAGATGGCCAACTCGATTGACACTGACACTTGCAATCCCTGTAGTCTCGTTCGAGGAGGTCGTTTTCTGACGGCCCTTCTTCGAACGCAGCGGGTGGGTCTAGTCATATTGCTTGACTAGACCAAGAACATTAACAATCAGCTGGGCACGAGGCTCCCAGCTGTCCCACGCCGGTGGATAGCCACGCCAGCGGACGATGTAGCTCGTCCGGACGCCATTCACATCGCGGTGGTATAAAATGCGCTCAACAAGGAAGTGTTGACCACCGCTTGAGTCCACCAAAAGATGTGGTGGTGGCGGGAATACCTGATCCGGCTCGATGGTCGGATCAGCTTGATGTTCTGGAGATGAACCGTGTAACGTAACAGTTACACGATGACTTGGTTCATGAACGGACTCGGCGTCATGAGCTCCATGACCTTGTAAATGATAATTACAACTCCTTAGCGCACGATCGTTCGAACGATCGTGCCGCATTTGCGTTCGCGCAACTTGAGAACGAACGTTCGATTCGTTCTCTTCGTGACGAGCTGGCTGCCGCTCGTCGAGACATCGCTGAGCTGCATGAGAAGGTTGCTTCGCTAGTCGACCAGACTGGTTCGTTGAAACGGGACCAATCGAGGGTGGTCTCGACTCTAGACCGCGGAGGTGTTCTTCGCATCTCAAAACGGGATCGTACTGATAACACGGGCGGCGATCTCCGACGTAAAATGTAGGATGCGTATTCATCCTACGAGGCAGTTCAATCGTGCATGCGTTGCACACGCGGCGCAACACACAAAATGGACCGATGTACCTGGGCAGTAATTTGCTGCTGCCCATGTTTGTCACTGCGTATTTCGGTAGGTTTACTGTAGACAGTAAAACTAGGTCTCCTTCATCAAATGAAAGAAAATTTGCTCTTTCGTGTTTGTCTGCGTTTCTCTTCTGTCTGTATAGTGCATCTGCAATAGAGTCTTGAACAAAGCGAACAACCGCTTCGCGAGTCAGCAAAAATTCATCTGCTGATTCATCCTTGTCAACAGCAGTGCGCTTCTTGTACACTGCTGAAAGAACGTTGAATTCACCAGTGAGGGCGTCATCGTCCTCAATATGGCAGTAATTGGCGATGCTGAATATACCAGCATCTTCGTCATCATCATCATCATCATCGATGTCTATCGCATCGACATCGGCATCCATCACGTCGACACCATTGTCGACGGGTGATGAGCAAGAGCCAGATTGGGTTTATGTTCGAGCGAGTCCACCCGCCCTTCAACTAGAGTCACATTCTAAGAAGGCGAGTAAACGTGGATGGCGTAGGCCATTCACGAAGAACGGTCTGTGCATTGTAGACGCGTGCACCGATTTGTTGATGGCGAATTCCGCCATCGGCAAGAAATCACTCCAGCTCGTAAACGAGTGGACATACCCTCGAATTATCTCTTCGAGAACGCGGTTGACGCGTTCCGTCTGACCATCTGTTTCTGGATAGTCAGAAGTTGACATCGTTAAACGTGTTCCAAGTGAATCGAACACGGATTGCCAGAGCTCCGCTGTGAATAGGGGGTCCCTATCGGACACGAGTTCAAGGGGAAACCCGTGAAGTCGGAAGATAGTATCGATGAAGACACGAGCACAGCCCTGGACTGTGATTGACTCCGGTACAGCAACAAGATGTACCATCTTGCTGAAACGATCAACAAACACAAGAATACCAGTATTCTTGTGAACGTCTTTGGGAAACCCGAAGACGAAGTCCATCGATGCGGACTGCCAACACTCTGTCGAAATCGGAAGAGGCTGCAAGGGTGTGCGGGATGAAGGAATCTGCTTCACCCGTTGGCAAACTTTGCAAGCGCGAATGTATTGCGCACAAACTCATACTGGCGAGGCCAGTAGAAGTCACGAATCACCGTGAGGTAAGTCTTTTCTCTACCGCGATGCCCAATTGTTGGGGCATCGTGACACTCATACATGATGCGCAATCGTAATCCATTATGAGCCGGAACGACGACACGAGGTGTGTCGCCGTTGACTGCTGTATAGTACAGCAGTCCATCACGAACAGAATATCGTTCGGTTGAAGAGCGGTATTGAGACGACAAGCTTTTCAAAGCTTGATTACACGGAATGGATACCTAATCTATCAGCCGCAGAAGAGACTAATCTTCTGTGTATGCTTTCCGCACGTCATCGAGCAGGTTCGACGACGGAACACTCACTCTTTGTGTCGCGACAGTGCGATCACCCCTACTGCTGGGTTGAGCAGTCGGCTCGAAATCGGGCCGAAGCGAAAGAGCATCAGCGACGACATTAAGTCGTCCTGGCTTATACTCGACGGAGAGGTTGTACTACACGAAGAAAGGCAGCCACCTCGCCATTCGTTGCGAGAGTTGTGTACTGTTTACGGCCGTGCGTAACGACGTATGGTTGGTATAAACGATGAAGGACCTATCTCCTAAGAGGTATTCCCGAAACTTAGCCAAAGCACAATTCATGGCAAGGAGTTCCTTGTCATGCACCGGGTATTTACGCTCAGCTGCTTGCAGCTGACGCGATTGATAACAGACGACGCGCTCAACGCCGTCTGAGCCGTACTGCATCAACGCGCAGCCGATTGCAAAATCGCTGGCGTCACCGACCACATGAAATGGCCTGTCCTGATCTGCAATCGCCAACACAGGCACTTTTATCAATCTTTTCTTGATGCCTTTAAAAGAGTGCTGACACTCAGCCTCCATGACCACCTCTCGTTTTCCTTTGTAGACAAGAGAGATGTACGGTCATCTCGGCGTAGTTGCGCGAGTACTTGAGCAAATACGCTGCCAAGCCAAGTAACTTTCGAAGTCCCTTGACGCCTACTGGCACAGGCCAGTCTCTAATCGCCTTAATCTTTTCGGGATCAGGGCATACGCCGTGTTTACCCAAGATTCAGCCAAGAAGTGGTATTTCGATCGCTGCGAATATACACTTCTTGAGGTTCGCGAACAACTTATGCTCTCGTATTAGTGTAAGAACCTTCCGGACGTGGATTCTATGAAAATCCACGTTCGTCTTTCCATCCATAGCCCGGCTATGGACAAAGACATCGTCGAAGTAACGCGGTGCGAAATCGCGTACCGATCGCAACAGATTCGTAACACATCTGCTGAACGTTGCAGGGGCGTTACTTAGTCATGAGGCATCACTAACCACCAACCGAGCGTACCACTGGGAGTGCTCACTGCTGGGTACGGGATGTCCCGTTCACGCATGAGGATCTGATAGAATCCATCCATCAGATCCATGGACGAAAAGATGGTACTTTTTGCCATACCATCTATGATGATGTCCTTCCTTGGTACCGGCGTTTGAGCTGGTACCGTTGCAGCATTCAAATTGTTGAACGCGTGCACTATCCGCCACCCTCCTGTGGCCTTTCGCACACAGAAGGTCGGAGAGCTGTGTGGGGATGTTGATTCCCTCACATGACCAGCCGCTAAACGATCGGTAAAGAATTTGTAGATTGCTGTGACCTTTTCACGAGGTAGTGGCCACTGCTTCATTACACAGCACTTCGAACCGGGTTTCACTTCGATGTCATGCCGAGTGCCTTTGTTCTTGGGCAACTCGCATGGCACAGATTCTGGGAAAACATCCCTGAATTCTGCCAAATCCTTATACAAAGGATTTGTCTTTTAAGACTCCAAAGATTGAGACGTGTATCGCTCAATACGGGTCTTCTCATCGAGGGCACTCTCATCCATCAATGAGCTACAGAGAACCCGTTCGTTCTCAGTAAACACTTGTGCCGACCGAGTATCGGCGAAGTGCTCCTCCTCTGTGACGAGTACGCATATCTGCTTGATCTTGTCACTACGCAGATCTCGCAACAATCTTTTAGATTCTAGCGTTGGCAACTTGACCACCTCCGAGGCTGACTTCGGAGTTGTAACCAGATCAAGTGTATAAGCGCCTACACTTGACCCTTCATTCACCAATACATTCAATGTTTCGGTGATTTCCTGGGAAACACACCCGCATGTGGTTGGAGATTCACACCCTCAACATAACTCTTTCGGGAGTTATCACTCTCAGAAACGCTGTAACTTTCTTCCAATACTTGTTCTGACTGTGGGTGTACTACCACAGTCACGTCCTCTTCGATCGACTCTCTTTCAGTCGATCGGGCTTGCTCCACGACAGAATCTCTGATAGTCGATCTCGCTTCAGCGTGTTTTCCATCCTAAACAACACTAATCTTTCTTCTCGGATGCACCTCTTCTGTGTGTGCATCCGTGTTCCAGTCCACTCGATCTCTTCAAGTGGTGAACCTTTGGCGCAGCCTGTGTCTCTACACAGGTGTCGGAGGCTAGTTCCACAGTGCAGTGACCTTCTACACTGTGATCTTGTGCAATCATACTAAAGACCGTACCACAAGTGAGGCCACCGCACTCACTCGTAGTACATCCACACGCTTGTGGACGCTCCAAGACGTTCATCAGATGGCATCCGATGGACAAACGGCAGGCATCTTCACGGATCGATGCTGCCAGCTAACCCATGGCTGATATTTTCTAAGCCATGGCATACCAAGGATGACATCAAATTTATCATCCAAATCTAGTACGATGAAGTCATCATCGTACTGCTTTCCTTCTAGCGCGTAGTGGATTCCCACTACACATTGTTCACTGTTACGGATGCGCCTGTAGCGAGGCACACCGTTATCCTCGTTGGAGGGAACTCTCGTTCATCATAGTTGAGTCTACTATCTTCTAGCGACGGGCGTCGAATAAAACTGTTCGACGCCCCACAGTAAACTAGGGCGCGAAGTGACATTCCACTTGTCACTTCGATATTCAAAGTGATGAGAGACTCCTCATCACTAGGGGCAGTAACACACGGATACTGCGTGTTGGAAGCAATCTACGTCAAGAGTCCTGCAAATTCTCTTGACGTTGCTGGGTCAGCAGGGTGCCCCACCCCTACTGACCCTGACCGTTTTTTTGACGGTCCAACTTGCTGTCGCGGCTTAGCGACATGGTCGGACTTACGCCTCGGACCCTTCCTTGGCCAACGGTGGTCATCACGTCCTGTCTTCGGACGTGATGCGGTGCATGGGACACTACACTCATGAGCGTATTGCCCAATCTTTTTACAGCGATGGCATATTGCCGTTCGCTTGTGACTCAGAGAGCGAGAGTTCTCGCTCTCGATGTAACAGAGGTCCATTGGTTCGGGACCTCCTGTTTCCTGTCGCCTCGTCGGACGATAGTTTGACGAGTTATCCTGATACTGTATCAGGCTGAAGTCTTCTCGTTCCGCATACGCTATCGCCCTTTCCAGCGTATGGAAGTCCTCTCGGAACATGTAGGTCTTCACCGGCCCATCCACAAGGCCGTAGATGAACACGTTGATGAGCGCGTGCTCATCAACAGGGTTTTCCGTGACGATTATCGCAAGGTAGAGTAGGTGCTGTGCGTAAGCGTACGTGTCACGCTTACCTTGCTTTAGCCTCAAGAGTGCAGAGCGTGCTCTGTACTCGGCTCTCGGCGGCTCAAACGTCTCTTTGAGCCGAGGCTTCAAGATCTCCAGCAACTCAAACACGTTTAGGTCGTGAAGCTTGAGTCCTAAGGCCCAAGTCTTTGCTCGTCCCGTCAAATTTGACAGGGTGAAGGTGACTTGCATCTCGTCACCCTCGATGAGACGGGCCCTGATGGCATCGTCCAACTCGACGAACCGTCTCAAAAGGGAATCTTCATCGGTTCCCTTGTGCCTTGAGCTATCAATCTTCAAGGTTTCGGGTCGACGCATGTGCGTCGGTCCGCCCATCTATCGACTGATGAGAGCCTTGCTGCTGTAGCAAGGCTATCTTCTGTCGTTCAACGGCAAGTTCCCTTTTGTAGGAACTTGTTGATGGCAGCATGTTGCTGGTCTTTGCTTGGAGACTCCAACGTACCACTGATGGCGGGTTTGCCCATGAGCACACTCATGTGGCCGACTACCTCCCATTCTGAGTCACTCAAAAAGGAGGAGACTTCACGTGTGACGTGAAAGCTGTCTTCTTCTACATCCAACATGTTCATGTTGGACGGCACTAAGTAGTCGTTGGACGGACTACGAAGTGCAACCAAGCGTAACGGGGCACCCTTTGTTTGGGTGCCGCAAAACTTCACGTACACTAGTATGTGCAGAGGGGGCTAAACTACTCGAACGACCTGTTCAAAAAAAGGGTAAAAAGAGAACTGCATTTTTGTAAATATAGGTAAGCTATCGACATAACTTCAGTCTTTATCTAGCTACATTAAACTACGTCGTCGTATGACGACAACCTGCACACCACTCATTGCGCGCGTCTGGCAGCAATTGGTGGCAACCTGTGGTTGATTTGCCTTATCTCAACCAATCTTGGAAAAGCGATTGGGTTTTTATCCAAAAGGGGATAACATTCCTTCAATATTATCCATCCTGGATTATATTGGTAGAATATTGTCATGCTAGACAATATTCCTATTGACACCGTTTGGTGTCAATTTCATGTAACGGGCTACCCCGTTACATGAAACGCAAGAGCTATCACAAGAATTTCCATTTGGCAAAATGATCACCAATTGTCAAATCTCGAAATTGGTAATTTGACTATATTCAGCATTTGTGCGTTTGAAACGGTGACTATTTTACCCTATACCTAAAAGATTGACTTAGCCGAATAAAATAAACCCGGTGCTTTATCATTTGCCTTTATCTACAATTGTGTACTCGAGGATACACGAGATGATGGGTCTGCCTATCAGAGGAGGATGTTTAGGCCTGCCCGGAGCGTGCACAACCACTCGAGTTGTGCACGCTTCAGACAGGTCTAATAGTTGCCTATCAAATGACAAGACTCGTTAGCAAGCATGCAGTTTCCCATTCCAAGTTGCAGTTGGGTATAATGTAATTGACACTAATTATGTATCAAATATAGACTTGTGTTGATAGAGTACAGGGAGTTGGCACTTTTGCACAAACATGAAACCGGTAGCAACGCTTGCTCTTCTATTGGCTGAAAACTCAAAGCAGGATCATTGTCGGCCAAAACCTTCCCTCCAACCATCGATACCGGCTGAGTAGTTTTTCCTTCGGGCTCTTCAGCCTCTCCCCTCAGCTCTCCTGACTTTTTTGTCACATATCGACTTGCTCACTCGGTGTCGAGCCTTCTAGAAGCATGGGTGCGAAACGCTTCCTTCTCGGTGTCGCGTGTGCTGCCATCTTGGCACGTGTCGAGAGTTCCTCAACCATCGTGAATAAGACAGCGCCCGTAGTGGCCGAGTACCCGGATGAGCTCCTCTTTTCTTCCGATGCTGACGCCGATAGCAGCCTCGTCGCTCAGCTGAACCATAAAGCAATCAACAAGACGACAACGGAGGAGAGATTCGCTGAACCGATTTCCTCGTGGTTTGGAAACCTTGTGCGTAAACTGTACTCGAAGACGACCGACTCTGCGGGTCTATTCGGGAGTGTCTTTGCCTGGCTCGTGTCGACATTGCATCTCCGGTCCTGGGCGTTAATGGGTCGCACCCCTTCCGATCTTGCCAACTTCCTCAAGCTTCCTAAAGGTGATGCCCTTTTTAAAAGCTGGGAACTCAGTCTACTGAAACGGTACATCAAGCTCCTGCCAGGAGGCCGAGAGACCAAGACAACACGGCTGCTGGACGTGTTGCTGGAACACTATGGTAGTGAGGCTGAGTTGGCGTCGGTGTTGATAACGTACACAACTTACAATATTGACTTTAAAGCGAGGAGATTGCTGGAAGCATTGATTTCCAAGTCGCTGGATGCTAAGAAGTCGTATGAAGGTGTAGTGGACAGCTTTGGCATCGATACTAAGCTGGCACTGGCTTTGTTCAAGCTCACCCTTCCTTTTTTAAACAGCAACAATTTGAACGCCTTGTTGAAAGGACTGTTGAAAGTAGTGTATGCCAAGTGGCGAGTTGCCGGGGTACCGTTACTAGAGGTTCCTAAAGACGAAAGTTTTTTCGTAAGCACGGAGCTACTTCTGCTGGAAGATTATGTCAATAGCCTTCGCCCGGAGGAAAAGACCAAGACAACGTTGCTGGACTTGGTGATAAACCATTTTGGGGACGAGGTCGAGTTTGAACATGTTTTGCTCGATTACGTACTCAAGCAACCGCTCCGTAAGACAACAAATGCATTGCTGGAAGCATTGCTTACGAAGAGGCAGCGTGCCGGGAAACCATTACTGAAGATTCCGAAAGACGAGAGCCTTTTTGACAGCCGGGAACTGGCGTTGCTGGATCGGTACGTCTTCTTTCGTCCAAAGGAATTGACCAAGATGACGTTGCTGGACGCAGTGATAGGCAGCTTGGACAGCTCTGGTAGTGAAGCTGAGCTTGCACCGGTTGTGTTCAAGTTCGCACCCGCTTATAATAAATTTGTACCAGCGAGAACATTGCTTCTGGATTTGCTACGTAAGTGTAACGGGGCACCCTGAAGCTTGTACTGGTGACAGTACAAGCTACTTATTCTGATAACAGAATAAGGTGGTGCCTCGTAACTTCACGTACACTCGTACGTGCAGAGGAAGACGGTAAGAAGAAGCGAGTACTCGGTTAGAGTAAAAAGTAGAACTGTATTTATAATAGTTAATGTCTGCAATAAATCACTATTTATCTTCATCTAACTATGTCTAAATACAAATGTGTAAATCAGTTATCTGCTCACCACTCATTGCGTGCGTCTGTCGTGGCGCGTCTTCGTTGGTTGATATAATGGCCTATATCAACCAATTAGGGACTACTTGGAGTGCTACAGAATATTGTCCTTATGACAATATTCTGAGAATATAACTCTTATAGTTATATTCTATTAACAATTTCTTATAAATTGTTATGTAACGATTCACCCCGTTACATCACCCCCCTTAACCATCAGTCACTTTAGTGACTGATTGACTAAATGGATACTCGTCCCAAATCATTTGGGACGGGGTTTGCACTTGTTGGTCCGCGTCCACTTTCCAACATCTCATCGCATGGTAAACAAGCCCATGCGATGCGCGAGCAAGGCCGCCGAGAGCGCGTCTGCACGTCTCTGTGCGGACGCCGAAGCAGAAACTACAGCAACTGATGTCCCATCGGTTGCTGAATCGACTCAGCCTGTATCACCTGGTGATGCAGGCGCTGGTCATGAAGACACTCGTGTCTTCACAGAGTACGATCTCGGTGTCTCGTACTCTCCTGATACGGATGACGGATCCGTATCGACGGCAATTGAATCCAAGCCGCCTGCCAAGCGTGGCATGGACGATGCTTTGCGTCGCAGCATCTTTGGTTCATCTGATGAGTCAGATGAACCATCGCCGAAGCGAAGGCGCTCGAGGTCGCGAGACTCGGGCGCTAATAGTGGTGTCGTTTCTCCAATGGACACCACTTCACAGCGAGGTGCCAGTACTTCTGTCGGCACGTCGCAGGAAGAGCGGGACCGCAATGTGTTGCGTCTCGCTCTAGAAAAGAAGGCATGGATGCCTCCTAAATCTGTCATGGATCACTTGTCGGCGACGACGAGTGATCGTTATCGAACACGATTGTTCGATTCGTCGAGGATTCATCACCTTGACCCCAGCGCGAAAGACTATCGCGCTGAACATGAGTTCTTCATCGATGCTTTCTTCAGACATCGATGGTACAGTGGGAATCACAAACGTGATGGTCCCTCACTACTTCAGGCGTGGAACGCCTACATCCATAATCTCGAGGATGTAGGTCGTGACGCTTGGAACGACAAACTTATCAAAGCTCGTGATAAGTTTGAAAAGCGAACCCCGACAGGTGCACGCTACAAGCTGCATCGTTTGTCAAGGGAGAAAGGATTACCCTGCCTTTCTTGGGGAGACTCGTGCCCATGTTGTGTGAACAACTCTGCACGAGCACCTAAGGAGGCTTACCTCCTTACCAGCCCGTGGTGGCGCGTACGTGTCTCTACTGAGATGTACGAAGGGATTGACAACCTGAAATCCCTTTACGACCGTGCCGGGAAGACTTTCTCCGGCGGTCCTTCTGCGGCACAGGATGTGTCGCGTCGTACTGCTCGACCAGACCCAGTACGTCAACCATCAATTGGGAGCGGGGCTCCCAAGAATCCCAGGACGGGGGATAGCCGCGCCACCGGACGAGGTAACTCGTCCGACGTCCGTTCACGTCGCGGTGGTTCAACAGCTGCTCTACTAGATAGCGCTGGCCACCGCGAGAGTCCTCTAATGGAGGTGGAGGAGGAGGAAAGACGCTCTCCACACGATCATGTGGATCGGTGTGTTCCCGAGAGCTTTTTGATCGCGTAACGCAAGGGTTACGCGACGATCTCGAGCATGAGCGGAATAGGCGTCTCCAGATGGTGGACACTGCCTCGAAGCATCGAGCTGAGTTTGCCTTTGCTCAGCTTGAGAACGAGAGATCTCTGACATCTCTTCGTGACGAGCTAAGGGTAGCTCGTGGGATTGTTGATCGGTCTCGGGCTGAGATAACTGCTCTTCAGACCCTTGTTGATGCCCACCATCGGGAGCACAAGGCTCTCTGCGAGATGCTTGAGCGCAAGGGCGTTCTTCATCGGAAGAAGCAGCGTACTGATGGTACGGCTTAAGCCGACCAACGTAAAACGTGGGATGCGTTCGCATCTTACGTGGTAACTCGATCGTGTATGCATTGCCTAGGCGGTGCAATACACGAAATGGGCCAATGTACTTGGGTAGTAGTTTACTGCTACCCGAGTTAGTCACTACATGTTTTGGTAGATTAACCGTAGACAGTAGGACTAAGTCACCTTTATTAAATAAAAGAGTGTTTGCCCTTCCATTCTTGTCAGCGTTTTGCTTTTGCTTATCCACCGCTTCGGCGATGGAGTCTTGCACAAAACGGACTACCGTTTCACGAGCCAGTATGAACTCATCTGATGACTCGTTAGCTTCAGTGTGCTGTGAGCGCACTGCAGCGACAACAACCTTTTCTTCAGTGAGGGCTTCCGCACTCTCACTGGGATCATTGTCTTCAGTGAGGGCTTCCGCACTCTCACTGGCATCATCTTCTTCGATATCGATGTTATCGATATCGGCATCAAACGCAATGACTTCTTCGTCAGAGCGTGATGAGCGTGAACCAAATCGGTTTTTGCTCGCGCGAGTCCCTCCCCCCTTAAACCAGAGTTACACTCTAGTAAGGTGGGTACACGCGGATGGCGCAAGCCATTCACGTAAAACGGTGTATGTGTCGTGGACGCATGCACCGAGTTGTTAATGGCAAACTCTACCATTGGCAAGAAATCACTCCAACTCTTAAAGGAGTGTACGTATCCTCGAAGTATCTCTTCAAGGACACGATTGGCACGTTCCGTCTGACCATCTGACTCTGGATGATCAGATGTTGACATCTTCAAGCGCGTTCCGAGTGATTTGAACACGGACCGCCAGAAATCAGCAGTGAATCGTGGATCTCTGTCTGATACGAGTTCACGGGGCAACCCATGAAGTCGGAAGATGGTGTCAATAAAGACACAAGCACAGCCACTTGCCGTGATTGTCTCTGGTACAGCCACAAGGTGTACCATTTTGCTGAATCTGTCAACAAATACGAGAATACCCGTATTTCCGCGTGCGTCTTTGGGTAACCCGAAGACGAAATCCATTGAGATGGATTCCCAGCACTCAGCCGGAACCGGTAGAGGCTGTAAAGGTGCACGCAGTGAAGGACTTGACTTCACTCGTTGGCAGACTTCGCATGCGCGAACATACTTTCGCACAAACTGATACTGGCGGGGCCAGTAAAAGTCTCGACTTACCGTGAGATATGTTTTCTCTCGGCCACGATGTCCTCCTATAGGAGCATCGTGATACTCGAACATGATCCGCAAACGCAGATCAGTATCATCTGGAATGACAACACGTGGTGTGTCACCAGAAACGGCTGTATAGTACAGTAAACCGTTACGAGTAGTGTATCGATCTGATGCAGATCGATACGCAGACGACAATCGTTTCAACGATTCTCGAGATGGTTGGGAGAGATGTGACAACAACTTCACTATCTCACCATCTTGGGCGTATGCCCGCCTCACATCATCATACAACGTTGTAGATGGAACTGAGGACGTCATAACCGCAACAGTGACTGTCTCACTGTTGGGTTTCGCGACTGTTTCAAAGTCGGGACGACGTGAGAGTGCATCAGCGACGACATTAAGTCGTCCTGGTTTGTACTCGACCGTAAAGTTGTATTCTGCAAAGAATGACAACCACCGCGCCATTCGTTGTGAAAGGTGCGGGCTGTTCACTGCCGTGCGTAAGGACGCATGGTCAGTGTAAACAATGAAGGGTCTATCTCCTAATAGATAGACTCTGAACTTCGCGAGTGCATACTTCATGGCAAGGAGTTCCTTGTCATGCACTGGATAGTTCCGCTCAGCTGGTTGCAGCTGACGCGACTGATAGCAGACGACGCGTTCAACGCCTTCAAGGTCGTACTGCATTAATGCACAGCCGATTGCGAAATCGCTGGCATCACAGACCACATGAAATGGCCTGTCCTGATCGGCTATTGCTAGGACTGGGGATTGTATCAAGCTCTGCTTGATACCCTCAAAGGAGCGTTGACATTCAGCGTTCCATAACCACCTCTCGTTCTTTTTCAACAAACGAGAGAGGTGTACAGTCATCTCGGCGTAATTGCGTGAATACTTATGCAAATACGCCGCTAGCCCAAGGAATTTTCGAAGACCTTTGACATCGACCGGCACGGGCCAGTCGGTGATCGCCTTGATCTTTTCGGGATCAGGACGTACACCGTTCTTACCAACGATGCACCCAAGAAGTGGTATTTCGCTTGCTGCAAATATACACTTCTTGAGGTTTGCATACAATTGATGCTTTCGCATGATTGTAAGAACTTGTCGGACGTGGTACTTGTGAACCTCAACGTCCGACTTTCCATCCATAGCTCGACTATGGATGAATACGTCATCGAAATAACTCGGCGCGAATTCTCGTACTGGCCTCAACAGATGTGATACAAACCTGTTGAACGTGGCAGGGGCATTACTGAGCCCTTGTGGCATTACTAGCCATTCCCAGAGCATGCCGCTAGGCGTGCTAACTGCGGTATAGGGTATATCCCGTTCCCGCATTAGGATTTGATAGAAGCCATCCATCAAATCCATGGACGAAAAGATGGTACTCTTTGACATACCATCAATGATTACGTCCTTCCTCGGTATCGGCGTCTGAGCCGGTACCGTTGCAGCGTTCAATTTGTTAAACGCGTGCACTATCCGCCACCCTCCTGTTGCTTTTCGCACACAGAAGGTCGGAGAGCTATGTGGGTAAGTTGATTCCCTCACATGGCCCGCTGCTAAACGATCGGCAAAGAACTTGTCGATCGCAAGTACTTGTTCACGAGGCAGTGGCCACTGCTTCATGACACAGTACTTCGAGCCTGGTTTAAGCTCGACTTCGTGTCGAATACCTTTATCCTTCGGTAATTCGCACGGAACAGTTTCAGGGAATACATCCTTGAATTCAACCAAATCTTCATAGAGAGGATTTTCCTTGAGCGATTCCCATGATTGGGACTCATATCGCTCAATTCGTGTCTTTTCATCTAGGACACTCTCGTCCATAGATGAACTACTGAGAACTCTCTCGTTCTCAGTAAACACTGTTGCTGACCTTATGTCGGTTACATACTCGTCGTCAGCGACGAGTACGCAGATTTGCTTGACTTTGCCACTACGCAGATCACGCAAGAACCTTTTATGTTCGAGCGTTGGCAACTGAGTGATCTCCGAAGTTAACTTCGGAGGCGCAATCAGATCAAGTGTATAAGCGCCTACACTTGATCCGTTATTGACTATGACATTCAATGTCTCTGTCATTTCCTGGGGACTTATTCCCTCAGGCTTCGAAGGACTTATTCCTTCGTCTTCCCGGGGACTTATTCCCGCGGGTTTCGGGGAACTTATTTCCGCCGTATTTGTAATCTTGGGACTTATTCCCTTTACTTCCTCTAGCTGGGGTTGCGCAACCACAGCGAGATCCTCTACGAAAGACTCTCCAGTCGATCTAGGATTATCGTTTCGCTTAACCTGAGCGATCGATTGTTTCTCTTCTAGATGTTCCCCTCTAGGGATACATCTTTGTCCCAGTCCACCCGACTTATTCGAGTGGTGGACCTTCGGCGCAGCCTGTGTTTCCTCACAGCCGCCGGAACTTTGCTCCGAAGTGTAACCGTTTGGTACACTAAGGTTTTGTGCAGTCGTACTAACGACCGTACCACAAGTGAGGCCATCGCACTCACTCGTAGTACATCCACACGCTTGTGGACGCTCCAAAACGTTCATCAGATGGCCATCTGATGAACAAGCGGCAGGCATCGTTACTGTCCGATGTTGCCAGTTTACCCGTGGTTCGTACCTTCTGAGCCACGGTATTCCAAGGATGACATCAAATTTGTCATCCAAATCCAACACGATAAAGTCATCGTCGTATTGGGTATCTTCTAGCGTATAGTGAATCTTCACTATACGCTTCATGACGGTTACGGATGCGCCTGTCGCAAGACGTACCGTCATCCTCGTAGGAGGTGTGTCACATTCACTGAATTTAAAGTGACCATCTTCTAGCGATTGGCGTCGCACAAAATTGTTGGACGCCCCACAATCGACTAGAGCTCGAAGGGACAACTTATTCGTCACTTCGAGTTTCAAGGTAATGAGTGAGATCTCATTACCTAGAGCAGCAACGCACAATGTCTGTGTGTTGGGAGCAACCTTCATCAAGAGGCCTACAAATTCTCTTGACGTTGCTGGATCAGTAGGGTGCTCCGCACCTACTGATCCTGTCCGTTTTTTGACGGTCCATCCCGTTGTTGCGTCTTTGCACCAACTGCGGACCCTCGTCCCTGCCCCTTTCTCATGGGTGGACGGTCACTACGCCCAGTGTCGCGAGACACTGGACGAGGGGCACTACACTCGTAAGCGTAGTGTCCTGTCTTTTGACATCTGTTGCATCTCTGCAACTTCTTGTAGCCTGTAGAGCGAACCTTCTCACTCTCTACATAACAGAGTTCCATCGGCTCTGGACCTCCGTTGTCATATCGTCTCGGTTGACGATATGATGTCGAGCTGGCGCGAGCCTGTCTCAGACTGAAGTCTTCCTGCTCCGCAATGGAAATGGCTTGTTCTAGTGAATCTAGTTCAAGCCGGAACAGGTGAGTCTTGACGGGACCATCCGCAAGACCCTGCATGAACACCGAAACCAACGTGTGTTCATCCACTGGATTGGAACTTATACAACTCGTAAGATGTCGTATATGTTGAGCGTAAGCGTGCACATCACGCTTACCCTGCTTGAGCTTCAAGAGTTCGGTTCGAGCCCTGAACTCAGCTCTAGGCGGTTCAAACGTTTGTCTGAGCCGCGACTTGAAGACTTCCAACGACCCAAACGCGTATGGGTCGTGCAGCTTGAGCCCCAGTGCCCAAGTCTTGGCACGTCCTGCCAGATTTGACTGGGCAAATGCAACTTGCATATCCCCGTCGTCGATGCGACGCGCCCTTATGGCGTCATCCAATTCGACGAACCATCTCAAGAGGGAGTCTTCTTCGACCCCTCTATACTTTGAGATGTCAATCTTCAAAGTCTCGGGCCGACGCGAGTGCATCGACCCGCCAGCAGCAGCCTGCTGCTGTCTCAACAGTTCAAACTGTTGAGCACCTTGTTCTCTCAACAACTCTGCTTGTTGAGAACCTTGTTGGTGAAGCAAGGCTACTTTCTCGCGTTCTGCGTCAAGTTCATTTTGAATGAACTTGGCGATAGTAGCATGTTGGGCATCTCTATTGAGAGCCTCTAGCATGACGCTAACAGCATGGATGCCCATGGTCGAACCCATTCGTTCAACCGCATCCCATTCGACATCGCTCAAATGGGAGTAGCCGTCACGCGTAGCGTGAAAGCTTTGGTCATCTTCATCATCCAACATATTCATGTTGGATGTGAACGCGGTCCTTGGACGGACTACGAAGTGCTACCAGGTGTAACGGGGCACCCTGAAGCTTGTACTGGTGACAGTACAAGCTACTTATTCTGATAACAGAATAAGGTGGTGCCTCGTAACTTCACGTACACTCGTACGTGCAGAGGAAGACGGTAAGAAGAAGCGAGTACTCGGTTAGAGTAAAAAGTAGAACTGTATTTATAATAGTTAATGTCTGCAATAAATCACTATTTATCTTCATCTAACTATGTCTGAATACAAATGTGTAAATCAGTTATCTGCTCACCACTCATTGCGTGCGTCTGTCGTGGCGCGTCTTCGTTGGTTGATATAATGGCCTATATCAACCAATTAGGGACTACTTGGAAGTGCTACAGAATATTGTCCTTATGACAATATTCTGAGAATATAACTCTTATAGTTATATTCTATTAACAATTTCTTATAAATTGTTATGTAACGATTCACCCCGTTACAGTAAGTGCATAGCGGATAAGAAACGGATGGAAGACGTGCTAGCACTGTTCAAGATCAAAGAGTTGGGAGGCGGCATTTTCGTTCACCGTCGGATGACATGGTTGCAGAAGCTCAAGGATATCTATGAAGAGGAATCAGTAGTCAAGAACGAGAAGACATTGAGTAAACTCCTGATAGAAGTGTTTGCTGAAGAAGAAGGGAAACTTGCCATCATGGCTATGAAGGCAGCGAATGATGTCAAAGCCGATCAACTGCAAGCAAAATCGGTGCTGCGTGACCTGTTTGAAACGGAGAAGAACAGTCCGGGCTATTTGGAGCGCGTGTTGTACCAAGAAAAGTTTGCCGACGACGATACCGCGCAAATCCGAACGACATACGACTTGTACATCAAAGGGAAGTGGCAGGTTAAGTGACGCGTGTGCAATGCTCGTTTGGTTGTACCTCTGTGTGGACGGTAGCTTTACCGGAACAATAGTACAACTGCTTTCTTTTTTACGAGCTGTTGTGACAAATTGGTTTGGGACATTTCAACGTGAGGGTGTGCTGTGTGTCTTAGGAGCAAACCTGCGTTGATGTGTCTATTTTCCAGTTTGATGCACTGCGTCCACATCGGTTTCGTCAAATTGATATTTGCAAGTAGCTAAGCAATTTAAAACGCGTACGCTTGTTCTTGACATGCGATAGGGGTTGATGCACTTACTGGCCACCATTCTGGTTAATGGTAGCGTCAACATCATCGACTCCGTTCTTCCTTGCTCCATTCATTATGTAACGGGGTGAATCGTTACATAACAATTTATAAGAAATTGTTAATAGAATATAACTATAAGAGTTATATTCTCAGAATATTGTCATAAGGACAAATATTCTGTAGCACTTACAAGTAGTTCCTAATTGGTTGATATAGGCCATTGTATCAACCAACGAAGACGCGCCACGACAGACGCACGCAATGAGTGGTGAGCAGATAGTTGATTTACACATTTGTATTTAGACATAGTTAAATGAGGATAAACAGTGATTTATTGCAGACATTAACTACTACAAATACAGTTCTACTTCTTACTTTAACCAAGTACTCGCTTCTTCTTACCGTCTTCCTCTGCACGTACGAGTGTACGTGAAGTTACGAGGCACCGCCTTATTCTGTCATCAGAATAAGTAGCTTGTACTGTCACCAGTACAAGCTTCAGGGTGCCCCGTTACACCTGGTAGCACTTCGTAGTCCGTCCAAGGACCACGTTCACATCTAACCTGAACATGTCAGATGATGAAGATGACCAAAGCTTTCACGCTACGCGTGACGGCTACTCCCATTTGAGCGATGTCGAATGGGATGCGGTTGAGCGGATGGGTTCAACCATGGGCATCCATGCTGTTAGCGTCATGCTAGAGGCTCTCAATAGAGATGCCCAACATGCTACTATCGCCAAGTTCATTCAAAATGAACTTGACGCAGAACGCGAGAAAGTAGCCTTGCTTCACCAACAAGGTTCTCAACAAGCAGAGTTGTTGAGAGAACAGGGTGCTCAACAGTTTGAACTGTTGAGACAGCAGCAGGCTGCTGCTGGTGGGTCGATGCACTCGCGTCGACCCGAAACCTTGAAGATTGACATCTCCAAGTACAGGGGAGTCAAAGAGGACTCCCTATTGAGATGGTTCGTCGAATTGGATGACGCCATAAGGGCGCGTCGCATCGACGATGGGGAAATGCAAGTTGCATTTGCCCAGTCAAATCTGGCAGGACGTGCCAGGACTTGGGCTTTGGGGCTCAAGTTGCACGACCCATATGCGTTTGGGTCGTTGGAAGTCTTCAAGTCGCGGCTCAGACAAACGTTTGAACCGCCTAGAGCTGAGTTCAGAGCTCGAACCGAACTCTTGAAGCTCAAACAAGGTAAGCGTGATGTGCACGCTTACGCGCAACATATACGCCATCTTACGAGTTGTATAAGTTCCAATCCGGTGGATGAACACACGTTGGTTTCGGTGTTAATGCAGGGTCTTGCGGATGGTCCCGTCAAGACTCACCTGTTCCGGCTTGAACTAGATTCACTAGAACAAGCCATTTCCATTGCGGAGCAGGAAGACTTCAGTCTGAGACAGGCTCGCGCCAGCTCGACATCATATCGTCAACCGAGACGATATGACAGCGGAGGTCCAGAGCCGATGGAACTCTGTTATGTAGAGAGCGAGAAGGCTCGCTCTACAGACTACAAGAAGTTGCAGAAATGCAACAGATGTCAAAAGACAGGACACTACGCTTACGAGTGTAGTGCCCCTCGTCCAGTGTCTCGCAACACTGGGCGTAGTGACCGTCCACCCATGAGAAAGGGGCAGGGACGCGGGTCCGCTGTTGGTGCAAAGACGCAACAACGGGATGGACCGTCAAAAAACGGACAGGATCAGTAGGTGCGGAGCACCCTACTGGTCCAGCAACGTCAAGAGAATTTGTAGGCCTCTTGATGAAGGTTGCTCCCAACACACAAACATTGTGCGTTGCTGCTCTAAGTAATGAGATCTCACTCATTACCTTGAAACTCGAAGTGACGAATAAGTTGTCCCTTCGAGCTCTAGTCGATTGCGGGGCGTCCAACAATTTTGTGCAACGCCAATCGCTAGAAGATGGTCACTTCAGTTCAGTGAATGTGACACACCTCCTACGAGGATGACGGTACGTCTTGCGGCAGGCGCATCCGTAACCGTCATGAAGTGTATAGTGAAGATCCACTATACGCTAGAAGATACCCAATATGACGATGACTTTATCGTATTTGATTTGGATGACAAATTTGATGTCATCCTTGGAATACCGTGGCTCAGAAGGTACGAACCACGGGTAAACTGGCAACATCGAACAGTAACGATGCCTGCCGCTTGTTCATCAGATGGCCATCTGATGAACGTTTTGGAGCGTCTACAAGCGTGTGGATGTACTACGAGTGAGTGCGATAGTCTCACTTGTGGTACGGTCGTTAGTACGACTGCACAAAACCTTAGTGTAACAAACGGTTACACTTCGGAGCAAAGTTCCGGCGGCTGTGAGGAAACACAGGCTGCGCAGAAGGTCCACCACTCGAATAAGTCGAGTGGACCGGGACAAAGATGTATCCCTAGCGTGGAACATCTAGAAGAGAAACAATCGATCGCTCAGGTTAAGCGAAACGATAATCCTAGATCGACTGGAGAGTCTTCCGTAGAGGATCTCGCTGTGGTTGCGCAGCCACAGCTAGACGAAATAAAGGGAATAAGTCCCGATATCACAAATACGGTGGAATTAAGGTCCATGAAAATCGAGGGAATAAGTTCCCGGGAAGCCGAAGGAATAAGTCCTTCGAAGCCTGAGGGAATAAGTCCCCAGGAAATGACAGAGACATTGAATGTCATAGTCAATGATGGATCAAGTGTAGGCGCTTACAAACTTGAACTGATTGCGCCTCCGAAGTTGACTTCGGAGATCACTCAGTTGCCAACGCTCGAATATAAAGGTTCTTGCGTGATCTACGTAGTGGCAAAGTCATGCAGATATGCGCACTCGTACGTATGGACGAGAGTGTCCTAGATGAAAAGACACGAATTGAGCGATATGACTCCCAATCGTGGGAATCGCTCAAGACAAATCCTCTCTATGAAGATTTGGTTGAATTCAAGGATGTATTCCCTGAAACTGTTCCGTGCGAATTACCGAAGGATAAAGGTATTCGACACGAGGTCGAGCTTAAACCAGGCTCGAAGTACTGTGTCATGAAACAGTGGCCACTGCATCGTGAACAAGTACTTGCGATCGACAAGTGCTTTGCCGATCATTTAGCTGCAGGCCATGAGAGAAAATCAACTTCCCTACATAGCTCTCCGACCTTCTGTGTGCGAAAAGCAGCAGGAGGGTGGCGGATTGTGCATGTACTTAACAAATTGAATGCTGCAACGGTACCGGCTCGGATGCCGATACCAAGGAAGGACGAAACCATTGATGGTGTGTCAAAGAGCACCATCTTTTCGTCCATGGATTTAATGGATGGACGAAACGATGGTACTTTTTGACATACCATAAATGATTTCGTCCTCTCTTGGTATCAACTTCTATCAAATGCTAATGCGAGATCGGGATATACCCTATACCGCAATATGCACGCCTAGCGGCATGCTCTGGGAATGGCTAGTAATGCCACAAGGGCTTAGTAAAGCCCCTGCCACGTTCAACAGATCTGTATTACATCTGTTGAGACCAATACGAGATTTTGCGCCGAGTTATTTTGGTGACGTATTCATCCATAGACGGGCTATGGATGGAAAGTCGGACGTTGAGGTTCACAGATACCACGCACGACAGGTTCTTACAATCATGCGAAAGCATCAATTGTATGCCAACCTCAAGAAGTGTATATTTGCAGCAAGCGAAATACCACTTCTTGGATGCATCGTTGGTAAGAACGGAGTACGTCCTGATCCCGAAAAGATCAAGGCGATCACCGACTGGCCTGTGCCAGTTGATGTCAAAGTTCTTCAAAAATTCCTTGGGCTAGCGGCGTATTTGCATAAGTATTCACGCAATTACGCCGAGATGACTGTACACCTCTCTCGTTTGTTGAAAAGGAACGAGAGGTGGTTATGGAACGATGAATGTCAGCGCTCCTTTGATGGTATTAAGCAGATCTTGATACAATCCTCAGTCCTAGCAATTGTCGATCAGGACAGGCCATTTCATGTGGTCTGTGATGCCAGCGATTTCGCAATCGGCTGCGCGTTGATGCAGTACGATCTAGGCGTTTAACGCGCCGTCTGCTATCAGTCGCGTCAGCTGCAACCAGCTGAACGGAACTATCCCGTGCATGACAAAGAACTCCTTGCCATGAAGTAAGCACTCGCAAAGCTTAGAGTCTATCTTTTAGGAGATAGACCCTTCATTGTTTACACTGACCATGCGCCATTACGCACGGCAGTGAACAGCCCGCACCTTTCACAACGAATGGCGCGGTGGTTGTCATTCTTTGCGGAATACAACCTTACGGTCGAGTACAAACCAGGACGACTTAATGTCGTCGCTGATGCACTCTCACGTCGTTCCGACTTTAAAACAGTCATTAAACGCAACATTGACACAGCCACTGTTGCGGTTATGACGTCACCCATACCATCTTCAACGTAATATGATGATGTGAGGCGGGAATATGCCTAAGATGGTGAGATTGTGAAGTTGTTGACACATCTCTCACAGCCATCAGGAGAATCGTTGAAACGATTGTCGTGTGCGTATCGATCTGCATCAGATCGATACACTACTCGCAACGGGTTACTGTATTATACAGCCGTTTCTGGTGACACACCACGTGTTTTCATTCCAGATGATAGTGATCTGCGTTTGCGGATCATGTTCGAGTATCACGATGCTCCTATAGGAGGACATCGTGGCCGTGAG